TTAAGACAGGAGCAAGGGTGCAGAACTACCTAAGTATGGAAATGCCCCAAACTTATTCAGGATCAGCTTATAAAGCTGTTTACTGCAACAAAAGCTGGGAAGTCTTTTAACCATGAAATCAAACATTTTTTCTCTCCAAAACATGTAATCAAAATTACAAAATCCTTCTAACCAGATAAGCATAAGCAGGACCTGCATCTGTACACTAACAATTAAGCTCAGGTTATGGTAAAGGGCTGGAGGGTGGCTGCACACAAAAAATAGCAATCATATTGAACTTTATGGCTAACAGAGAAAAGACTAAAGGATAAAATGCAGTCCCAGACTTTGACATCTTACAGGCTGACGTTTTCGTTTCTCGTGGTGCTTCTTCAACATCATCTTCAAATCACTTTCCCCAAGTTCTATCTTGTCTGCAATGAAAAAGATTTCAGATATTATTTGCATAGTACTCCCCTACTGTTACTTTGCAGACTTCTTAGAATGACATTTTCTATCCATTCTCATGTCCAGCAATCTCCAAATTTCAATAACTAATTTACTAACTTCTTATTTGAATTTCATTCACTCCTTTGTTTCAGTGCTTCCTTGGGTCACCAGATTTCATTTCTGATGCAGCCATAGAAGTGAAAAGAATCCAGAATCAGCTTGAAGGGTTTGCAGACTGGGATTCCTAAATGTTTTGAACTGGACTGTGCTAATGCTTCACCCATTAAAGCCAGAATACAACAGAGCAATTGGCAGCATTACACAAATTGTGACCCTTGTGTTAAAATACTACTGCTATAAAACTGAGAGAAGAACCAACTGTTGTGTTGACTGCAGAAACAAAGCATTACAAGTTTTCATCAAACAATACATTTTCAAGCTGATTTCTTGCAAGGTCTCAAAGTAATTTTCCCCTTTAAATCTGTACTGGCCCCTGGTTTGGTTCTCACCTGCTGTTTTCATGTCTGAGGTTGACAACGTGGGGATCACTCTCAGGGGAACTGGTGGACTTGAACAACGTGCTGGAGAACTTGGAGGCCAAGAGATTAGTTCTAAAACAGAGAAATAAATTTACTTCTGCAAGATTTAGAACCAGTCTAACTCTGCTACCTCATGTTCATTAGATCACAGCCAGTAAAACCAGAGTCCAGATTTCATCGCTCTGTCAGAGACACTGTCCCCACATCAAAAATGTGTCTTTCTCTGTTCACACCTCGAGACTTTAGTTCAGCCCAGGGCATTACCTTCTTCATCAGAAGACAAGGCAGTGTCTCCACACTCCTCTTTCACCTCCCTCAGGATTTTCAGGTAGCGCCGGTGTGCCCGTCTGTCTCGTTCCTCCGAGTCGTACGTTGATGGGAAGTGCCTTCTCCTCAGGGTCATCTCAGGGCCTCCTTTCCTGGCCAATTCCAGCAAGTGCTGGAAGAAGAGATTCACGTGACATTAGCTGTGCCAGTTGTGGTTCTTTAAGCCAGGACAGGTAAGCTCAGCTCAGGTATTTCCAGTAAGGCTCCCATGCTGTCAGCACCTCAGTCCTGTGTAAGGGAACCCTTAGGAAGGATCAGTATCTGCCACATACAGGGTTTTAAACCCAGCATTTTAAACCATCAAAAAAGCAAGGCAAAGTTTCTGCCCCTTCATCTGCACACACAATAGTATCTGTCATTTGGGAAGAACGTAGGCATTGGTGTGAGATGTAGTTTCCTTGCCACATATGTAACACAGACTACGGAATATTGTCTCATTTAAAGAAAACATTTTTACCCCTTATGGCTACAGAGGAAATAAATTCCTATGTATTCTGTATTGTTGCCCAGAGAAGCTGTGGCTGCCCATTCCTGCAAGTGTTCAAGGCCAGGAGCAACCAGGTCTAGTGGAAGGTGTCCCTTCTGGGATTCTTTGACTCTACTTCCCATTCTATTCCCTACAGGGCATTTTATAAGACAACTTTTTCACTTTCATCCACACATCCCACACGCTTCAATGTCTTAAATGCAATAAAAGACAAGTGAGCAAGTATTTACAACAAACTGGCAGCAATTAGCTCACAGAAGTATCCACAGAGGAAGACTTCCTCAGGGATTTACTGGCATTAGAGTTTTGTATCTACATAGTTTGTAACTAGGCATTTAGCAATTGTACTTGTTTCAAAGTAGCAGAAATGGTAAGAAACAAAGGCAGAGTGAGTTGTGGCAGACTCACGTTGCGGGAGGTGAGGATCTGCTTGAGCAGCCTGTAGAAATACTGCTGCTGGGCCCGCAGGTACCGCTTGTACTGCGACTTGTAGCACAGCTGCCGGTACTTCACCACCTCGGGGTTGAAGTGTCCATCTGCCACAGAGACAACACACACCTGAGGCGTCACTGCTGCCTCACAGCTTCCCCCCCAAGCCCACCCAGAGGCTCACTGACCTCGGAAGAGTTTCTGGGCGATGTGCAGCGGGTTCCCGAACCGAAAGTTCTCCCCGCCAAACAGCGCCAAGATGAGTTTGTTCTGGTGCTCCCGGTTGTTCTCGGGGAAGTGAGGCAGGAATTTCTTCAGGTGCTCCTGCTGCGCATCTGTCAGGACCTCCTGCCACGTGGACAGGCTGACAACGTCGAAGAAGATCTCAGGCTAAAGGAAGCAAGAAAAAGCAGTGAAGGAAACGCATCCAGGTCCTTGGGGCTTTCTGTGGTGAATTAGCACCAGCCACGAGACAGTGTCTCACTAACTGCAGAAACAGCACAGCACAAAGAGGAAAGGGGAGGAAACTGATACTACTAACAACCAGAAAACTTTCTTAAAAGCAACTTTTAAATAAGAACATAACACAATTGATTCAGAAGATGTTTTCTTGAGATTAATCAAGGCCCTTTTTGACGCCTTTCCCAGGGCAGTCAGAAACATCTCCCCTCTTTTCAGTTTGCTCTGTAACCCTCCCCGAGGGAGTTAAACATGCTTTTAACCCTGATTATGAGAAGTTACAGTGTCTCAGCACTACTCACGTCCTCCAGCAGGTCCTCGGGCAGGCTGACCCTGGTGGTGCCCAGCATGCAGTCCTCCATGATCCGGCTGCCATTGCCCTCCAGCTCCAGGGGGTCCGTGAGCATGTGGTCCAGGGAGTCCATCCTTCACCCCCTCCTGCTCCTGCACACGGAGAATAAAGCCCTGACCAACCAAAAATGCCAAACCCAGACACGCCCCACTCTCAGGTGAGGAATGGCTGAGAAGCCACCTTTGACGGGTGGTTGTCGAAATGCAACCTTATGACACTGGGCTGCAATGTATATACATATATAACAAGATATTTTTAATATATACACCTGCATTAAAATGTAATCTTCAATTACAACACATATATTATATATATATCTATTTTTATATAAAAATTTACTCTTCAATTACAACACAGGTCACGCCAACAGAGCCATCACAGGGTTGTTTTATTCCCTGGAAAAGCCCTCAGGCTTTCCCAGACAGGGAGTACCAGGCAGACTGGGAAGCACAGGTGACCCACTCGCTTCCCACCTGCAGGAACTGCTTTCAGCACTGCGAAACACCACGAAAAACCGCATTTAGACCCCGGGAGCGGTTTTAAGGCGCAGAACCGAAGGTCAGGTCCGAGGCGGGGTCTGCCTCAGGCTGGACGTGCAGCAGCTGTGACAGGGCCAAGCGGCGCGCTCCGACACAGCCGGGCGGCTCCGGGCCGGGAGGAAACGCACGAAACACGCGGGGCGAGAAGAGGACGACATAAAAAAGGCTTAAAGGTGGGAAAAGAGAGAAAATGGGTTTATTTCATACCCTCACGCGGCCCGGACAGAGGCGGAAGGCGGCGGGCACTGCCCGCGCCTGCGCGACCTCCCCACCCCGTCCCACCGCGCCTGCGCGGGGCCGCCCCTCAGGCCGCCATGGCGGGGAGCTGAACGGGGACTATCGCGACAGAGACTATCGCGACAGGGACCATGGTGCGGGGGGAGATTTCCTCGAGCCCCGAGTGCTTAATGACGCCGTGGCGCTCGTGGCAGCTGTTCCGTCCCCTCATGGGCACCCTACTCCACCGAGTTCACCACAGCGGGGCGTTCCGCAGTGGATTCCACAGTGATTTGTGGTTCCCCTGGGGAGTTTAGGTTGGAATTCCATCTTCATCGCTCAGAGGGTCTCCTGGAGGGAAAATGATTCTCTAAGTCTCTCAGGAAAAAAAAAACAAAAAAACCAAAAACAAAAGGTATTTATGGAGTTCTGAAGTCACCTGTCAGTTCTAGGTTTCTGTGGCTTGATTGCAATCCCGTTGATATGCTGCGCTGATACTAATTGTAGTTTAAATTTTAATACAGGAGGAAACAGACCCATCTGGAGTGTCCACACCTTCACCCACTGACAGCACCCTTGAAGGACTCCTATTAACATTTACAGTTAAAGTTTACAGAGCATTAATAACACTGTGACAGGCTGAGGTTGGAGGATTGCCAGCAGTAGTGTCCGACTGTAAAACCGTGTTCAAACAGTACAGAGACAAGCTCTGATCCCCAGGGAATAACCATTCCTGCAGGTTTTACCCAAGGGGCGCCCCTGGGGGAGAGAACAGATTCACCCCAGAATGAATGATCCCAGAAGTTATGATGGAGTCTTCCATAACTTCTCCCCAGTCTTAACTTCTCTTCATGTTTAGGTGGAGGTCGTACATTTTATTCAGCGAGGGGTGGTCGTAATTTGGGGGCAGATATCTCAGGATAGCACCTGCCATAACCTTGGGATGGGGACGTGTGTCAGTCCAAGGACAGGGATTTCACTGCAGTGGCTGATTCCAGAGGACATCTTCCTGTAGTCCTTAGTTTTCTGCTGCTGTGGGGTTGATCAGCTGGAAAATACTACCACGTTCCATCCTTTTAAAGGGTTTCAGAGACCCATGGGGTCTCCACCTCCCTTTAGCCCCCCCTTGGACTGTGTTGTGGGACATCAGGAAGCAATGATGTCTTCCCTATGACTTCTATACCTTTATCTACCCCCACAGAAAAGATCAATCATCACACGTGTTTAAAAAAAAAAAAGAGAAAAAGATTTATTAATTTCAGGATGGGGGGGGAGGGTGTTTGTTTGCTTTTTACACCCGCCTGGTTGCACGAGACTCTGAACACAACAACAGTCACCAAATGTACAATAAACATACACACTTAAATAAGAGGTGGGGCCCGAGCAGTCCGAGAGGTGCACGGTCAGGGTGTGTGGGTTGGGGTTGTTTTCTTTTTTCCTCCAGGAAAATACAGGATCTGACCCAAAAACGCCTCCAGGGGACAGCACTAGACCCCGAGGAGCCTGAATCCCCGAGCAAAACATGGACCTTGCAGGCAACCAAGAGCACTCCACAGTTACCCTCCCGTGGGACACGACTGGAGAGATCTTTGGGTTGCTCTGGTTTAAAAATAACAATAATAATAATAATAATAATACATCCTATACCTTCTGCACTGCAGAAATGGAAAAAAAAAATCCATGCAATCATTGTCTTTTTTTTTTCTTTCCTTCTTTTTTCCAACTGTGCAATCACTGTAGTTCCTTACTTTGGAAGGAAAATTCGTGGTACTTCCATTTCCAGGGATGATGCTTCCATAACAAGGCATTGGTTTAACTTGAGAGGCTTGGAATCACTTCAGTTATGTCAGGCTGATGGCCTGGCTACTGCTGCTGAAGGACAGAGTAAAAAATTTGATGAGGAAGATCTGAGTTCAAAAACCTTAAAAGATCTGGGTTTTTAAATGGTTTTGTGTTGTAGTTTTCCATTTTAAATAACTGGTACAACTGTCCTCGTTCATAAACCGTTCCAACAAAGGTGAATAGAGGAAAATAGTTTTAAACCCCACATGTGCAACATCCTTAATGGGAACAAGTCTCATGTTCATCTGTTGTCAAACATTTAAGACTTGAAAATTGCTGCTGTAGGGCAGAATCACCCTGGATATTTCCAAGTCTGCTATTTTCCTACTAATACTATTTTTGGCTCTTTATTAAAGAAGCAGCAGCCTGAAGAAAGCCAAGACAAGATCTCCCTCTTCTTCTCCCACGCCAGTGTAATCACAGTGCCTGACATTGTAATTCCAAAGTCCTCAGCAACACAAATGCAGATTCATCAGTAGGCATTGTGGTCACCTGGCCACGCTACCACAGTCGATGGGCTCCCAAATCCATGACATTTAAAGTCACTCATCACTGCACCAAATGGGAGCTCTGGTCCTCCTTAAATTTACCCAGCTCACTGACGCCCCAGGATGGTGGTACAGCAAGAGAAGTGAAATCCAAGGAATAAATTAATCCCCATTTTGGCAAGTCTCTTTAAAGCTACCTCAGAACAGTTCTGAGCTGGCCAGGCTTCGCCATCTGATTTCTCTCATCTCCCTTTCCACGCCACATTAACAGATGTTAATTACCAAAGCAATACCCACTGCAAGGCTTTGCCCACAAGGAACCAGACCTCCTCTTGTCCAGCCTGAGTGTGAAGGTCTCCTGTGTCTAAGAGCTTTAACTCCATAAAACCTGATCCCACAATCTGTAGTGCTTACTCGTGGGTAATCCTCATGTAAATCCATGGGAATACTCACAAAGAGTCCTGCATTCACACTCAGTGCAGCACAAGAGAAAACAACTCAAAAAACCTCTCTAAGTTCTTCTGTCTTAAGGGCCTCTAAGACACAACATCCTTCTTTGTTATTGTTTTATAAATAAATGTATCCTGTTATGCACAGACATTCTGGGATGAGTTTTCCAGCAGAAAATGGAGGTTCAGACATAGGTGGTGTATCCTATCAGGAGTCAATGGAGTTCTAGACATATTCTTGCAACTACCAGAATGTATCAAACAACCAACCAACAAGACCTGGGAAGGAGAAGTATGTAAGGAAAAAAAATATTATACTGCCTTAAAAGATAAACCTTCTCTTTCCCTTTCTCCTGGTCCCTAAATGCAATATGAATTCTGTACAAGGACCAGGTCCACCAAAGCAGGCAACCCTCACAGATGGCTTTCTGTGTCCCATAAATAGTGGTCCACAAGCATGTTTCTGGTGTGTTTCCTGAGTCCAGGGCTGGTCTTTTTATGGAACTGTCCAAAGGAATTACAGTGCATTGTTAACAAGGGTATTTGGAAAAAAAAAAATCAGAGTAACCAACTCTCCATCCAGTCTTGAAGGGGAGAAACGTTCACTTTGAGGTGGCAACAGAGATAAGGACCCAGTCCCTTCAGAGCAGTGCTCCTGTACCCTCATTTTCTCCTGGCACAACTATCTTAGGTCAAAGGTGCAGGTTAAGCTGAGCCTTTTTTTTGTTTACAGGTAAAACAGCAACCTTCCCTGCAAGCACTGCAAGGACAAGAGACACCAGTGGCTCCACACTACCCTCGGGTGCTACTATGATTTCAATCCCTTTGTCCAACAACACGGGTTTAAGACTCCCCTTTTCACACAGGGCAGGGCAAATAGGATGTAAACAGTTCTGGAGGGCTGGAAAAAGGATAATTTAATGGACTGCTTCGGCACATCTTCACAGCTTCACTGTTTGATCCATCCCCACACAGGGACACGAGGAGCCACTGCTTGGCTGCTGCTGCTCCTTTCTCCAGGCAGTCTGCTCATGCTGAGCTGGGACATTTCCCTTCCACCTTGGCTGTTGAAACAAAGCCCCAGGAAGCAGTTCTGCCACACTCTGGGAAATTTACATGATGTCCTCCTGGTGAAAGGCTCCCATTAAAAATATACATACAACAATCTGCCAGGATGCCTTCAGCTAGGCAAGCCTTTCCCATACAACTGAAATCAGAAGTTGTTTGCTGGAGACACTTCCAAAAAGGAAAAGTAAGGGTCAGCAGACATGCCAAAAATAAAACCCAGGGCAAGCAGAGGTTTCACTTCTCTTGTCCTTTTTGTTAAAAGCTGCATAAAAGCATCCCAGAAGGACTCTGAGTGTACTTCGTGGCCACTGGGGACTTAAACCCTCTTAAAGCATTAACAAGAGCTCCAAGATTTTAGCTGAAGGTAAGTGAACAGAGATCAAAACATACAGAGCCCCAGGGTGCCCCCACATCTGGGCTGTCGGGGAGGTGACAAGACAAGCAGATGACCCCGTGGGGCTTCACTCGTGCTCTGCTGAGAAGGTCCTGGGTTTGGTGATGTGCAACTCGCTGCCCCCGCTGCCGTTGGTGGTGGTGGTGATGATGTACTGGGTGGTTTGCTGTTGGCTGCTGGGCTGGGACTCCAGGGGCTCTGGGGGTGCCGGGGGCTGGGAAACACCCACCTGCACCTCGCTGGGCAGCGAGGACGTTTGCTTGTCCAGGTCGGGCTGACCCTCCGAGATCACGTAGTGAGTCTGCAGGGGGAACAGAAACTGTTACTGATCACTGCATTGTCTGTGACTTCTCTGCTCTAATGGCCTGCTGGGAGGTATTTTGGGATCAGCAAGGAACTGGGAAATCAAACTCTTTCATTTAACTATTTGAGAGCAACATAACGCTTGTTCTTCAACTTGAAGGACACTGGACTTGCCATTTGGATAATTTATGAATTGTTAAACTCATTGCACGATTAACCCATCACTACAGATTAAAGTAACTCTGAATACAAGAATTCTGCAATGTTTATTCTATATTCCATGTGTTCTAGCAGAAATTGCACTCCCAGTGCCCAATACCAACACAGTCAATGGCCTGCCTGCCTCCTTGTGCTGGATTGCTTACAAGGTAAGCTTGGATTGCTTACAAGAAAATCCTCTTATTTTGTAACCTTACAGATAACAACAAGCTATCAAAATGTTCCCAGAAGCTGCTCTGAAATTTGGTTTAATACATACAGCTTAATCATAAATATTTTTAAGACTAAGCAGCACCACTAAATAATACATTTGTCCTGCAAATGTGATTAAAAGAACACTTTAAGCTGGAAGGAGTCATACACACAAGGGCCAGCCAGTGTGGGCTTTGTAAATGGCTACACACAGACTGTACTGTGCAGTCTGGACCTCTTTAGGTACCACAGTATGCTTTCCTCTGTGCCCCAGTCATCAATCTGGCATTGCTTTAACCATCAAGCTGAAGACTTTACATCTGATATATTATTCTGGATGAAGAAACAGCCATGATTGTTTTCCTTACCTGAGTAACTGCTTTCACTTGCCCTGTGTTGACAGTGGTGACCGGGGTACCCACAGCAGTCTCTGTGATCACGTACTGCCCTTGGGGGATGGTCATCATCTGAATCTCTGATGCTAAAACACAGAAATTGGAGAATCAAGACTTTGAATCAAACCCAAAGACAACTTTGAAAGATCACGTCTTACGTCAGTAAGACTTAAAGTCTGAAACAGTGGGTGTTGAACAGAAATTGGGGTGCTGTAAAGCCCAGTCAGACTCCACAGGCCTCAACAGAATTATGCCAGGCAACACCAGCTGCAGATTTGGCAACTCCCAAGGAGACAACACACCCTGTTCTGACCCAAATCATCACAGAATTACCAGCCAGAGCTGCATGGACATGACAAATTGTCTCCTGTCACCCTCCTCTTCTGTACAGTTCTTTCAAGCACCCATTGCTGCTGTCCAGAACATGGATTCTTGCTGAGTGCAAGTTCTTTGGAATAAAGGAGCCCAGTGTGCCTGCCCAAACCACATATGGAATGGGGATGGACCTACAGCAGAAGAGCTACAACAACCATCTGCATTTGTCTGGAAGCTTATCTTCCTGATCTCTACGAATATTAACCACGAAGCTTAACGAGCTCTGAAAACACAATCCTGTTTGGTAGCTGGGCCACGTTATTAGTCACACCCACTGGCCAGGCAAGCAGTGAGAGTGCTGTGACACTCACAGTAGCTCCTGAAGGAGTTCCAAGTGCTGGGGAGATAGGTGTGCTGGACTGAGGAGCCCTGCTGCTGCTGCAGCCCTTGGTTTGGTGTCGACGTCGCAGTCGGCATCTGTGAGGGGCTGAGTTCCTGCTGGGGTTGTTGGGAGGAGGGACTCAAAGGCTGACCTCCAACCTAGAGAAAATAAAAGGTGTAAGTGTTCTTGGTGTGGTAAGGGTTGCATCAGCTCTGTGCTCTTACAAACATATGCTTCTTATGAAGGGAAAACACAGGGTGGGTTCCAGAGCACACAGAACACAAGAAATGCAAAGCTCTTCTCCCTCTCCTCTGACTTGCTGCACTTTATGGCCAGTAAGCACAGAGCAGGAAAACAGAGATGTTGTTTGCCAAAGTGAATCTGTGGCAGAGAACGGAGATCAGAAGCTAAATTCTACCCAAGAGCTCGAAGAGCTGCACTTCAAACGTTTGAGGAATGCCAGTTTCCATTTACATCTTTTAACCAACCAACTCTATTTAAGCTGCAAATTTGTCTGTTCACAACTATTTATCTCTAACTTAAGGGTGGAAAAAAAACCCCACACAACAAACACCCCAAACAAAACCACAACAAAACACCCCCATACACCCTGGGACACCTGGGAACTATTTGATGATCTCAGAGATGTTCATGTGAGAGCTGTTTCATGTGTGGTCCTTTAAAATGACACAGAAAAGACTATCTCCTGCCTCAGCACGTGCAGTATGTCAGCTGAACAGACTGGTAGGGAAAAGATTCCCTGCAAGAGAAGAGGGAAGTACCTGGGGTGATGTCTGAGCTGCTGGGGATGGCTCTGTGACCTGGATGTGCTGCACCTGGATGGCATGTTGGGTGTATGTCTGGGGGTCGTGGAGCTGCCCAACGTCCACTGTGGAGTGCTGGGACTGGTGAGGTGAGGTAGCCTGGGGGAAAAAAAAAGATAAGCAGAGCTCTGCATCAAGACAAGGGACCAGAGGCTTTGACTGGATTTTTTGAACAACGCCTGCTAATGATACCAATTGCAGTAACTTAATTGCAAGTCTCAGGTCTTGATAAAATCAAGGTCTAATATTATTAGTAATACTGCAGGAATCAGTACTCATGCTCTTATATGGTTACAACAGCCACAGTCACTATTAACTGGGGTCATTATTTAGGCCTCTTTTAACCCAATTCATAACCTGGTTTGTAACGAGGGGCCAGAGAACACAAAGTTTCAGATTCAAATCCAAACACGGGGTAGTTTCAGCTTTACCCAGTGGATAACAGACTTGAAGGCTACAGCGATTCCTTACAGCTGCCTGAGATATCTTGCTCAGTTACTCCAGTTACACTCTGCTTTTATTTTTAGGAGGCTGTTGAGCACCAGGGAATGAATATTCTAATAGATGCTATGAAGGGAACAAGCAAGCACTCTCTGTACTCCCAAATTTTGGCTCCAGCTCACTGAGAACAAGGAAGTACAAATTAGTCTTGAACTGCAGAAAACAGGTCACCCACTGACCCACTTTTCCAGTTGCTGGAAAACGTTCCTGGAGCAGACTCGAGCAAGGGTGCCCAGATGGGGAGAATGAAGTCTGGACTGTGTTGGTATGTCTCCAGCAAGCTGCCCAAGGCTGGCAGGACTATTTATGCCCAGTACACAATGCTTATGAAGGGAACCCTATGAATTATCAACTGATTTATCTGTAAGAAATGGTCTGTCTGCACCACCTTTTGCAACTACTCCTTAACAAACTTATGAGTGCTACAGCCCCCAGAATGCACGGGCTTGGGGTGGAAGGGGGCAAAGGCACAGCAAGACCCCCAGCAGGTCACTCACCTGGGCCACTTGAACAACCTGCAGCTGTATGTGCTGAGGCTGCTGCAAGCCAGTTGTGGACTGGGACACAGGGATGTACTGGATGCGCTGGTAATCCCCCTGGGCAGTCCGGTAGTCCGTGGTGAGGGTCTGGGATATCTCTGTCATGGCCTGGGTCAGCAAATCTGTTGTCTGAGCAGGGGGAGAGAGAGAGATACAGACCATCTTCACGTATTGACACACTTTTGCAGGGCTGCAGTTCTTTCCTCACACTGAATCTACACCCACCTTGGGCCTGGTCATTTATTTACAAGAGCTTAATGTGTGCAGAGGTTGGGGTCAAAAGTAATCACCAGGGATCATCTACTAGAGGACCACTAAAGGGTAACTTACCATAACATAATAAAAATAATTATTTTAACCTTCTGACTTAACAATATTCTATTAGACAACAAAAGTCCTGCATTTGTAAGGAGCTGACTTCATTTCCAAGTCAAAAAGTGCTTTATGGTCATCTACCATCTTTCCTCCTCCAGTGTGATACTTTCCTTGACAACTGTAGATATTTCTAAAGTAAAGCCATTTAATATCTAATTAGTGGGGTTTATGAAGCCAACAGCATCCTGATTCCATCTCTCATTTTTCAAGCAAAACAGTCTTTTATCCACTTAGTCTTCAAACAGTTTTATACTGTGATCAATAGGATTTCTACAACTATGCAGCATCCCAGCACCACTGAAGGATTCATGTCAGATTTTCTATCTCAGCTTTCACTTTTGTGGCAGCTGATGTATTAACAGTGGAGATCAGCCACTGGAGATTCATATTAGTCAGTGCTGCACTGTTCAAAGGAGTACAGAGATCTCGACTCCCTGAACACAGTTGGATCCAGTTCCCAGTCACTGTTAAAACATGTTCTCATGATCCCAAGAACTACCTCAGGGGAGCAGTCCCAGTGAAAATCCATGAGATGTGTGCTCCTGAGTTCATCAGGCATGTGTGAATATATTATGGGGAATCATTAGGTCTGAATGAAAGGAATGGACTTGGGGGAAAAAAGGCAAATCCTCAAGAGCTCCAGAAAGAAATGCACAGTTCCTGGCAGAGCAAAACTAAACCAGACTCAAAACCAGACGTGACCTCAAATCACGTCCTTAGACAGCCTTTAAAACGACGCCTGCCAAGCAAAGTGAGATCACTAATCCCAGAGGGCTGTGCTGTGGCTGTTCCCCTCCCCTGGCTGCAGCCCTTACCACGACAGTCTCGCCGGTGCTGCTGTCGGTGGCCAGCACAGCGGGGGTGGAGCTGATGACGGCCGTGGCCAGCGGGGCGTGGATGGCGTTCGGGAGCTGAGCGAACTCGGGGTGCTTCTTACGGATGTGCTGTACCATCTTTGTCTGCAGAAACACACAGTGTTAGAAGGGTGGGCAGGGACACTGCTTGGGGCCTGTGCAGGGCCAGGGGTTGGACTTGATGATCCTTGTGAGGCCCTTCAAACTCAGCACATTTTGGGATTCTGTGGAATCCACCAGTCCAGCCAACTGCAGCTTTTAGATTTCCCTCAGTGAGGCAGCATCATGATTCACACTATGGGATGCTCTGGTCAAGAAACAAGGATCAGAAACCTGCTGCTGATTAGAGCTACCTGACATTGAAACATTGCCCCAAACAGCACATTCAGTAGATTTTTGCCCCAACACAGCCAAGTATTTTGGGGACTTTTTCCAAAGGTCATCTTTTCTGTGTTTTGTTTCCCCACTCCTCTCCCTTGTCAGTGAGCATTTTCCAAGCCTTTCCATTTGTGATCACGCTCTGGTAACTTTTCCATTCCTTCTTTCAAGCTTGTGCCCTCTATTCAGGGAACCTTTCAGCCCTAAAACAAGGAGGCTGTGCCTGCATTGCCAGCACACGGCACAAAACCAGCGCTCTGACTCAGACTGACAGGTGACAGGGTGGTGAAAGAGCATCACCAGGGCTGTGCCTTTTGGGGCCCAAACACCTCATACCTTGCTGCTGTACTGCTTGGAGCAGTGAGGGCAGCACACAGGGGGGGTGGCAATGGTGCCTGTGAGCTGGGTGTGGGTGCTCAGCATGGGATCCGGCTCTCCCGGGCCCGCAGGACGCAGCTTGCGGATGCTCGGAGGCAGCTCAGCACCAGGGTGGTTCTTCAGGATGTGTGCTTTGCGTTTGCTGGCACTCTTGTACACCTGCAGGGGAAAGATTTGGGGTTAGAATGGTGCAGTGCTGATGTCTGCACAGAACACAGGTTGCAGTTCTCTCCACCTGGAAGGTGTGTGTGTTGCTGTGCAGGGCAGTGGTCACAGCCCCACGCCTGCCTGAGTTCAAGGAGTGTTTGGACAGCACTCTCAGGCACGTGGTGGGATTGCTGGGGTGTCCTGCACAGGGCCAGAAGTTGGACTTGATGATCCTCATGGGTCCCTCCCAACTCAGCATATTCTGTGATTCTCTGTGTCTAGTTAAATCCCCCCAAAATTACAACAAAATGCACAAATGTACATAAACCTTCCAGGGCTTAATCAATCTGTAAAAACAACTAACTTCTTGTGTAGCACACAGGAGCCTTTTGGGAACATACTGTATGCCACAACCAGACTCAAAGCAGGACAAGGAGGCAAGAGGAGAACCCTTTTTGCCTGGTACTTGAAGGTCAAAAGTCAGAGAAGCAACTGATCACCAAAGCTGTAATTTGCCCAATGCTCATTTGTCATGAGGATTGATGCTTCCACTCTCCTCACACACAAAGTATCAAATTGTTTTAGTTGTGACTGACATATTTTTTAATTCCTTTTAGGCACAGCAACAAGTGAATATTCTGTAATATTATTTAAAACCATTTTCTCTCCCTTCAAACAAAAGAAAGGAAGCATCTCAGAGGAACACACTGCTTGGTAAATAAATACCCCCATGCACAAAAAGCAAAGGCCAGGGAATGAGAGCAGGAACGCAAAAGGCACTGCAGAAACAGCTTCGGGCTCCACTGAACACTGGAATTACTGGCATGTGACTAAATAAGCAGCTTACAATAAAAGGGGTTACAGACTTTTAGGAGTGATACAGAAACCAAAAGAACTTAGTGTTCAGGAATTACAGACAGACAGGATTCTTAATCCTGGGCTGACACAGGACTAAGAGTCAGTGACTGTTTGCTGGATCACAGAATTTGTTTTCCAGTGCCTAAGACAGCAGAAAAGGATAACTGCAGTTTTCAATTAGCATTCCACTGCCTTGGCCTAAGTGCATTTTGTCTTTGTTTTTTTGGACAGTACAGCAGGAATGTTGCTGGCAACCACCTCAGAAAAAGCTACAAACCCTGCCAGAGATTTCTACACAGAGACAAATTGGCTGCATACAGGTCTGGGACTGAGCTGTCCTCTGAGGGGTGACTTCCCACACACCTTATCACAGTACTGACAGAAGTAATCTCTGTTGGGTTTGATGATGGGCAACGTGAGCTCTGGCACCTCTTCTATTTTCATGTCTGGATGTCTCTTTGATAAATGATTCACCTTAGGAAAAAGAAACACAGAGAACAAGAACATATTACAGCTGGAAACCAAACAATTGCTGCTTCTCCCAGACACAGGTAACGGCCAAACCAAAAGTGAATGATGCAAGTCAGCAGCACCAGAAGCATTTGCTGCTGCAAGGGCTATTGTGCACTCACAGTTGCTGCTGAAGGTAAACGTGGTCTTGCTGGATGTCATTTACAGTTTCTTAAATCAAAATAAGATGGGAAGGGGTAAAATAGCTGGCCAGAACTGTCCTGCAGCTGAGAGTGAGGTAGTGTGAAGGGCCTTTGCCCAGATCACAGCCCCGCTGAAAGCTTTGCAAACAAGAACTCTTGCTGCAGAACAGCCTTCACCCAGAGGCAGTGACAGGGCATGGCCAGGAGAGGCCCTGAAGAAGGAAAACACAGGAAAGAGGGCAAGAAAACTGAAGCTGTAAGGCTGAGCTAGGCAATATTTTCATCTCATGTTCTGTTAAATACATTACACATCAGTCAGCATTACTTAGTGTTGAGATATGGGAGTGACAACCAGACACACAAGGCAGGCAGTCAGATGTGCAAAGACACATTTGCTGAAGAGATAAGACACACAGGTTTAAAAAAAGATGTATCACCTCAACTCAGCTATAAAATTCACCCTGTTTCACAGCATCCTGGCTGGATAAGGCCAGGCTGGAGAGGGCTCTGATCAAACTAGTCTAGTGGAAGGTGTCCCTGCCCATGGCACGGGGTTGGAGTAAGGTGAGCTTTAAGGTCCCTTCCAGCCCGAAGCCTTCTATGATCACAGCATTCCAGCCACTGGAATTCCATCTTCCCTCTTGCACTATTGATCAGGATGCAGGCTGTGGGAGCAGCCAGGCACTCACCAGCATGCCCCTGCGGCGGAAGCCCATCATGCACAGGCGGCACTTGAACATGAAGCTCTCGTAGTCGGTGGACGCGATGCGGGGCTTGAAGGTTTTCGAGCGGCTGATCCGATCGGCCTTCTTGGCCTCCCTCTCCGGGTTGTGCATCCTCTGCATGTGCTCCCGCAGCTTGTCCTTCCTCTGGGAAACAGAATCAGGAGAGAAATGTCAGCATCACCCCAGTGATTGCTTTACAATCTGTCATGGTCAGTTTTCAGGGATCTCTCTCCAGCTTCTCCTCTCAGAAAAATGTGTTTCTTCACCCAAAAGTGTCCAGTCCCTCAGTGTCCCATCACAAACTCAGTGACAATGAGCAGGCTGCTGCCACCACAGTTTACCTGGCTCACAGTCTGCTCCATCTGTTCTGGTGGGATTTGGAAAGGCATCTGGATGACATGCTGACAGGATGGATGCCATGGACACAGGCACCTCTGTCAGGAATAAGATTAATTCACTGCCATCAGCAAGGACTTTCTTTACTGAACTGATATAAACAATACAACCCAAGCACCTGGTAGTGGAGCTGGATGATGAGCCAGTTCTTAACGAGCAGATAGAAAATTCCTTTGCTGTTAAATTATTAGAAATAAGATCTGTTTGAAGTAAGATGCTGGAGTGGTCTCACCCCTTAGGAATGGATGTTGTAGCTCACACACAACACCAAGCAGTACATGCAACTTGCAGGCAAGCCTACCACGATTACACATACTATTTGCTTCCACCTTTGAGAACGTGAGCTTATCTGCTTGAAGGAGGGCGAGGAATGCTGATTGTTGCATCAGGAACGGTCCAGCCAAGGAGCCAGCTCACCTTGAACTGCTTGCCACAGGTGGAGCACAGGAAGTCCTTGCGGTCCGAGTGGCGCAGCATGTGCAGCCGCAGCTTGTCGGGCCGGCAGAAGGCCTTGTCACACTCCGTGCACTGGTAAATCTTCTCCGAGTGGAAACTGCGCACGTGCTTCTTGACCTAGAAGGGCAGATCACACAAAAATGGAGCTTATGCAAGGGAGGAGTGAGTGGCAAAACAGCCCAGGAAACTCTTTTCAACAGGAAAGAAAGGAAAAAGGTTTTGAAATTGTCTAATCTGTTTTGGTTTAAAGAGTGTTTGATCAGGACGGATATCTCAACAATAGTTTCTATAAAGCCATAACATCTTTATGGATGGAGGATTTGATTTCTTCAAGACTGATTCTTGAAGGCATCAGCTATTGCAGAGTTGCACTTAATGGGCAGCGAAGGTCCACGATGTGTTACTGAATCACCCTCGAGTGAACACATTCATCTGAGGTTCATTATCTTCCCTTCATTTGTAAGGAATCTAAATGCAGGGACTAATTCCTTTCAATCAGAGAGAATGAGCTTGCAATCACAATTGGCAAAAAAAAAAAAAAAGCGCCTTAATCAGAAAAGCATTTGCACACCATTCCTGAATGGCAATTACTTCTCCATACTCTGGGACTATCCTTGACCTCTTCAAACATCTAGTGGGGTTTCCCCCCCAGATAAAGGAACTAATGAGGTTTGACATTTGAAATGCAAGCACTACTCAAGAAATGGATCTCTAATTAAATCTTTACTATATTCTAATGCTGATGATACATGGAACGAGTTGGTATCTTTATGTGTTCCACATAAAAGTATTTAAGTAGGCAGCAGTGACTAGACATAATTATTCATATAGCAAGAAGAGAAAAAAACATTGTTAAATTTCAAAAATAGAGCTGAATGGCTGGAAAAAAGCCATGGATCCTTCTTCTGACTCGATCATTTGCATGGGAAAGTTTATGGGGAATTAGGTTGCAGTACAGCATTTCTGAATCATCAACGTTTTTCCTTGTGCAACAGTTACAGAAGATAAAGGGCTTCTGCCAGGATGGAATTGTATTAGTAAATCACTTTGCCCCATCCTTTCCTCTTTAGCCTAGTGGACAGTCTATCAGTTCCTATTACTGACACAAACTGGCTTTCTGCATTTCAGTTTTAGTCAGGCTGCTCGGTAAGACACATCAACTGCTTTGTCCCCAGGAAGAATAATGAGTATGTTAATGGTACATCTCTGTTTTTTCTTACTGGACACGGAAATGGAATCTTTAAATTCCATTAATGACCTTCCCCAAGGGCTCTGCTCACTGCACAGAGCAGCTGCATCACCCACTGCTCCAGTGCAGTCCTAAGCAGTGTGCAGGGGAGGAGAACAAAGTGCCCAGCTGAAGCCCAGGGGGAAATCAGGAAGCAGAGTATCCTGATCTGTTCTGGCATTTCTGCAAGCTGTTCAAATGAATTATCCTGACAAAAACCAGGCAAGGGATTAAAGAAGAAAAACTACCTTTTTGTTTGTTTGTTTGTTCAGAGTTCTGATGACAAAGGACAAGGTATGTCAAGTACAAGCTGAGTATGGCAAAAGACAATCCCTTCCTGTGCTGTGGAGCTGTGGTAACAGGGCCTCTGCTTTGGGCATTTTTTGGGAAGAAGGAACCCAGCCTCCTGCAGTACAGTGTCTTCCAATGTCAGACTGAAGCACCACACCTGATGACTGAGTGGGCAGAGCACTTCAGAGGCATAAGGCAACATCTACAAGTGCTCGGTCACTTTTCCTTTTCAATTTCTGACAGATGTGCATCCCCTCACCGTGTGCAAAGGAACTCCTGGGCAGCATTTCACGGGGAGAGGGCTGAAAAACCCACGGCCTTGAGAGAGACCCAGAAGGCAGTGCTTCAGCTGAGCACGGCACCTCACCTGGATGAAGTCTGGGAAGCGTTTCTTGCAGGTGGGGCAGGTGAAGTAGCCGTCGTTGACGTGGATGGCCACGTGGTCTTTGAGCAGGTCCAGGCGGTCGAAGGACTCGGGGCAGAAGATGCACGAGTAGGTTTTCTGGTCCATGTGGAACTTCATGTGGCTCTCGAGGGCCCCGCTGTTGATGAAGCCCTTGTTGCAGATGTCGCAGGTGAGGGGGCAGTTCCCCTCCCGGCCGTGGAAGCGCAGGTGCTGATCCAGCTTGTCCTTCTCCCGGAAGGCCTTCCCGCACTGCAGGCATTTGAAGGGCCGGAAGGATTTGCGGATGAACAGGTGCTGCAGAGCTGCATTCTGAAAGAAACAGCCCAGGCACCTTTAGCTCCTTCATGGACAGACTCCACATCCAGCTATTTTCAGGATTAGATAAGCCAGATGAGCAGCAAACCTACACTTCAAAAAGTTATGGTGCATCATATCCTGTCTGCATTTCACAGCAGGGGAGGCTCTGACAGGCAGGAGTCAGGGGACACACCTGCAGCTACACCCCGAGTCAGCAGAACACAGTGCAGTTTCCTCTCATCCCTCACTTCTTCTATTCAGCTGGCTTAGTTTTATTTTACAGGAAAATGCCATGCTAAAGACAAGTCCTCTCTGCAGTACAGACCTGGGCCTGGTCACAAGTTCAGCCACCATACAAAGGGACAGTGAGCCAGAGCCCTGTTTCCCTCAGGAGCAGGGCTTATGGAATTCCAGAGCCCTTGACATCACCTTCTCACCAAAGATCACCACAGAGATGTGCAGCTGGAGTTTAGCACTGCCTGCAAAACTTCTGGTGGAGCACACATTCGAGAGGTGCTACTGAAAACCTTTCTGTGGTTATCAAAAAGAAGAACAGCATTTCAAAACACGACAGCAGGGGCAGAATGGCAGGTGTAGGAGCAGCAGGTAAAAACTTGTGAGCAATTCTCCACTCCTTCTGTGCACAACGTCTCTTCTCAGCCCCTATTTTGTTTTGGTGCGTTTTCCTTCCCTCTATCTTTTCTGTGACATTTCCTGATTGTTCTCTCTTCCCTTTCTCCCTTTCAGGTAAATGTTATAGAGCCATCCTGATCCAGCAGTGTCTGCTGGAGGAACAGATGTGCTGTACATGTTGCCTGTAGAGAGAGGGAAGTGTGTCCTGCATCTGCATTTCAATATTGAATTAAAATTTCACTTTGGACAGTTGGAAAGCTGGAATCAGGTACTATCTCTGCATTTAGGAAATCCCACAGCACAGTGTCACCCATACCATAATGATCTAAGCATTAAGTCTAAGCATTATCTACTCTTCTCCAAATTAAGATCCATAAATCATCATTTATTGATGTCTTTTCTTTTCACATGTTACACACAGAAGCCAGAGAAACAACCTAGAGGGCAGGGTTAGATGGGATATTGGGAAGGAATTGTTCTCTGTGAGGGTGGGCAGGCCCTGGCACAGGTTGCCCAGAGAAGCTGTGGCTGCCCCTGGATCTCTGGGAGTGTCCAAGGCCAGGTTGGACAGGGCTTGGAGCAACCTGGGCTGGTGGAAGGTGTCCCTGCCCATGGCAGGGGGTGGAACAAGAGGAGCTTTAGGGTCTCTTTCAACCCAAACCATTCCATGATTCTAAACAGCACCAGAACATTGCTGATACCTCTGCTCACACATATGGAATATGACCCACTTCTCCCTGAGATACACTCAAGACTTCTGAAAAAAAGATTCTCCTTTCCTTGTGGGAATGTGACAGCTGACACAGCTGACATTTGCTGTGTCCCTTAAGTGCCTGCCAGCAGCTGACACTGAATAAGTGAAGGTAGGAGCTCTTCTGCTGCAATGAGGGAACAGCTTGGGAATACTGTGAAGTGCTGTGTTAAGGATTAGATTCGTGAGCCTGGAAGATCCTTTTCACCATCTGAACTGCAGAGGGAAACCTAGACCTCCATTCCAGGAAAGGAACAGGAGAGTTACACAGAAAGCTGACAGTTTAATACAGGAGCTCCAAATGAACTGTCATCATCTCCATTCTCCATTTTACAAGTGAGACAGTGGGAAATGCAGGGATCTGCTCTAAGCCACCCCAGGAACTGGACAGACAGACATGTGCTGCATGGAGTCATGAGTAGATAATTTCCCCTTACCCACAGGGATATGCTAATAAAACATAAATAGTTGAAGAAATGCACTTCAAGTCCTGAACTGCACTATTAATTTGCTATTTGATCACTGGTACCTTCCCAGGGAGCTAAGTGGAAAGACAGTAGGATAACTCAACACAGTCCCACTGCTATCCAAGGGCTACTGAAGGGTGAATTGTTTTACTGCTCTTTGACTAGATAAGCTATTGACCATAAAAACAGAAAAAGAGAACTAAGTGTTGTCTCATTAACTCATAATATTAATCCAGCACAAACAACTGTGCAAACAAATCTTCCAAAACTCTAAGATGGATATTACAGCTCATCATCCAAGCAGTTTACTCCTATAATATCCACCTTAAATTTGCAATGAATTGGCATGAAAAGAACTAAAGGAATGCAAATAGGTTTTTGGGTAACACTTAGTTCTGGACAGTGGTTGCTTCAAGAGGAACAAATGTGACAATTTACAGTGTGGGGTCAATCAGGAAACACTAAACAGGAGCTGGACAAAACAACAATGGAAGGCAATGTTGGTATGTCCCATTGGATTAGATACAGCAAAAACCCAATGAAACAAAAACCCAAACCTACCTGCAGCTCCAGCTGAGCAGGCAGCATTGAGGGAGAGAAAAATGCAGGTTTTAGGTTATGCAATGGACTTGAAAACAGAAGCCTTGACTTCTGCAGGTCACTACAAGGGCCAGCTCTCGTAACCAGAGTTTACTCCTTTGAGGTTTTTGCCTCAGGAAACACTAAGCAGACCTTCCAGGTTTACTCTGGAGTTACTAACTGCCCAAGGGGAATTAAAGGGCAAAGACAGAACCCACAGATAGTCTTGGAGGTGTTTTGTGATCTTTCCCGTTCTCCAGGGCTGATTAACAATGATTAACAATGATGCAGTGCACGGCAGAGCCACTGTCAGAACGAAATGCTTTCAGCAGAAGGGAATAATTAGGGCAGGATGACAACAGGGCAGGGATTACAAGAGTGAAAAAGTTAAGGAGAAGGGACTTTTTCTAACCTCATCTTACTGGCTGCACTCCTTGTTACACAACTGGTTGCATTTCTTTCAGCATGAAGGAAATGACTGTGCTTTCCAAATCATATCCCTGTCCCTGCCAGGTTCTGGCATCAGCACATAGGCACTTCAGATACTGCCCAGGACTGAATTAAAAACAAATATTCACTTTGGCTGTGCACCACTATGTTCCTCTAATGTGTTACAAGAGTATCTCGAAGGGTGGGTGTATCTCTTTGCAACGCTGGGGACAAAACTGCCATAGTTAAGGTCTGATCTCCAAGGAAACTCCACAGGCTCTAAAGCAGAGGCTGAAAAACGAACTGATCCTATCAGGACTTGAATCCTGGGGCATCACAGATAACTGCTCCCAGCTAGAATGAAAACACTCTGCCTTAAACCTTAGCAAAGCTGAAGCAATGCCTGAAGAATGATTGTTTTTGATAATTAAATCCTATATGAGTAATAAAGAAGTAGAGCTACACAAGTCTCTGGATCACAGCAGGACTTTCTACCTGTTCTCTGGAAGTGAATAATGTACTACACACCTAAAACCCAAATGTTTGCTTGCTTATATTATTAAGAACATATTAGCATAAGCAGGTGCTGTGAATAGCTGAGCTGAGTGAGTGTTCAGAGGGTGATTTTTCAGTGCTTAGAAAATAATGCTTGCTGGTTTAGCCTTAATTCACTGCTCATTGCTCACAGTCTGATGCAGTATGGAAAGGTCTGTGCATCCACCCATTTGCCATTCTGCCAGTGCTTCTGGCTTGAAACACCTCCAGAGCTCTGCTGAACATGAGCTGCCAGATGCAGGGGAAGATTTGAGGTACAAACGTGTCACTAAACCACCACTGCACTCTCTTAGCTGTCATCTGTTTGTGATGAATTTCCAAGCTAAATCACAAGACAAGTAACTTCAGAATTTCTGTACCTTTCTTCCCACATTCACTATTTCAGAAGATTCTGAGTTCGTGTCTTGGGTTCCAAAATTCAGGGAAATGGCCAAGACTTTCTCTTCTTACTGAGGAAGCTGTAGCACACTGTGACCAGTCCATTCCCCATGCTCTTTCCTGCCAAAAACTTAGCATCTCTCTTTGTCCTCTCTTATCTTCCCTTTGATACATTCAGTAAAAATCTCTCAAGCTTTTAATCTATGAAAATGAAATTACTGGTAGAACCTTGTCGTTCAGAGACTGCAAGAATTTTAGATGGTTAAAAACTCTTCAGTCTTAACGTGCCCAAGCCGAATCCTTCCTTCAAGACACGCATTTTTGGGGTAACACCACCACTGGCCTTGCATGTGTATTCCTATAAACTGCAAGCAAAATTTGTCTCAACATCTTCCTACACAGAACAGCTCAGCTCTCTCCTAATCCATTCTCATCCCCTAAAAATGAACTCTTACCCCCCTTGCAGCTGTTCCTTTCTTTAATCCAAATTTTACACATGGAAGAAAAAGGAAAAGGTTTTAAGCTAAATAAACCCATCTCCCAGTTACACAACTTCAAGGATTATTTGCTTGAATCATTTCCCTCCCACACATAGTAGAGAAAAAAAAAAACCAGCTCACCCAGTTGACACAGAGCTCAGCTCAAAGTGTTTGCTGTCAGTACACAAAGCTCTTAGCGCAGGTTCTGATCTCAAAACCAGGTTTTTCTACCCCAAAAAAAGGATTTTCATCACTAAATATCATCACTTAAGTGGATCTGAACTGTGGTTGTGGTTCCTCCTTGGCAACCCTTTGCAGGAAGAGTTCTGAGAGACACAGATGGTGCTGTGAGCGAGTCATTAGTCTGTGCCACAGCACCACCATTCCACCGGCTGTTTGCAGCCCCCCTGCCCGCCAGCTCGGACCGACCGTGTTCCCTGAGAGAATCACTGTGCTGGAATCCAACCAGCTCCAACTGCTGACCAGTTCTCACTAAGGCTTGAGATACTGTTGTTAACGTGAGGTTTGCCCTCCTCAGTGCTAAGAAACCCGCTGGGGATGAGGTGTGTTAGATCTGGAGGTGGAGAGGCAGAGCAGCTGCTCCTGGCAGGTGGGTCTGGCAGTGCCTGGATGTGAGGGGAGGGGGGTGTGCTCTGCCATCCCTCTGGGCTTACCCTGATGCGCTTGGCTCTCCTCATGTCATCTGCTGTCATGGTGCTCTGCGTGGGCCCCGCGCCGCCCTCGTGCTGCGGCTGCTCCTGGAGCGCGGGGGCTCCGGCTGCTCCAGGGCCGGCTGCGGCTCCGGCGCCACCGGAGTCTGTTCCTGCTGCTCCAGCCCGTTCAGGGCGGCCGCTCCGGCCTCATCAAACTGCCCCTTGCTGGAAAAATGCAGCAAGTCCTGAAACCGCAAATCATACAGCTGGTGATTATTCCCCCCACCCACTGAGAGACGCTTCGACAACACTCAGCACACAGCAGGATTTCTACGGATTTCATCACAAGCTATGAACGCAACACGTCTACCCCAACTCCTGCAGTCCTCCTGCCATGTCCACTGATGCTTTCCCACATCACCTTCACCTACAGCAGCAGCGCTCAGAGCCAGGCAAGCAGCGCTGCAGGTGGGTGACTCTGCTGACCAGCCACAGAAAATCAGCATTATCCCATCTTCTGCACTCGGGGCTATTTCTGCTTTAACCAAAGATGGTGCAGGCTGACCTGGGAGAAATCTTACAACTGAAGTGACTAGTGCAGACCAGGGAAAGGAGAGAATTTCTGCCTCTCTTCTCACTATGAAACATTACTGTGTGTCGTTAGTAGTGTCCTCTCCTTTCTAACAAACTCTCTGGAGTGCTGGAGAGTGACAAACGAGGTGATTACACTGTGCACTGTGTTCTTCTATCCAGCTTCCAGCTCTGCACACTCTCGTCCACCCAGCTGCACACATCACTGGCACTTATCACACAAAGCTGTTTTCCTCCTCTCTTGAATTACCATAAAAAGGGAGGGTGCTATGAGTGGGAAGCACATGCCAGAAATCTACATTCTTTCTCTGTAAGTTCCAGTAACTTCTCTGGCATGGAATTATCTTGTATTACATGAAAAAAAAACCCCACACATAGATCCTTACTTGACACCACTTAATGCAACTGAGGAAACTTTAAAGCACAAGTTAGGAAGCAGAGCACCAGAATTATGTCAGCTCAAGGCTGGTGCTGTTAAAGCACAAAAGTGGGTGTGGGAGAAGAAAACCAGGGTGGCAGGAGGAGTGAGGCCCTTACAAGCCAGGACTGCTCACCAGAGAGACTCTTGGTAGAACAATACACCAGCCAAGTGTCCAGCCCAGGTTTGAGTGGCAAGTTTCCACCCTAACTGACTTTAGACTGTGCTCACAGCCTGGCTCTCCAGTTCTCAGGCAGAGTTCGTGCCTGGCCTTTAGAGAAGTGGGCAGACTCCAAAGGCTGGGGACATCACTGCTCCCCTGCACAGACACTGCAGGCCTGGCCATGCTCCAAGCTGGCAGGGCAGGAGCCACCCCCAGTCCAGAGGCCACTCACACACATTAAAGTGGGATTGTGCCCAGCAAGCCCTGTCTCCCCAGAGTGAAGGGTTTGGGAGCAGCATTATGTGTCCTGTCAGCCTGCAGAAAGGGTGAGCCTGCCCTTAATGCAGCATTTAGGGCACTGCAGCAGGAATCCACAGGCAGAGAACACATTCTTCCCTCTGAGTCAGCACAGAGCCATGACCCAGTGAGATGCCAGAGGAAAATTACCACTCCAGATATCAGCTTTCAGCTAAATCATAAAACAGAGCACTGATCCCTTTTGACACCACTCAGAAAAGGACTTAGTGGTAACCTAAGCATGGGCAGCATCAGAGAATTTAGCATTTTACTTGAATGCATCGTATTGGGTCCCCAGAGAATATAACCAACAGCCACAAGCAAAAGAACATTTTGCAATAAGCCTGCCTACAGGAGGCCCTTCTGTTAATATTATAACATCACAGAGAACCATAGCTCAACCTGATTTAATTCCACCAGCAGCAGCTATAAGAGCAGGCCCAATCTCACATTCCAGAAAGGACAAATAGGAACCTAAATTCCCATTACAGTTTTACTGTCTAAATTACTTCTGTGATGCTGCTAAACTGCTGCAATAACCCACCTCACTGCTAAGTGCTCTGGGATGAAACCTGCTGTAGAAATGCAAGTGATTTTGCAGTGGAAGGGAAGTGATGTGCTCTCCTGCAGAGAACCCCAGTTAGGAAACAAGAATTACTCAGGGTTAAGTACAAAGCACAGCCTCAGTTTGCGCTAATGCCCCAAATTCTTTTTTTAAGTCAAGAGTTTACATCCCCAGGATATGTTTTTCCTCCTCTCCATCTCCAGAAATATACCTGTGTCCCTTCTTCACACTTTTCCCCGTTTTCACTGGTTACTTCCATGCGCATGAATTTGGGAGGGCGCCCGGGGCGTCTGCCTGGTCCAAACCTCCTCTTCCCTCGCCCACGACCTCGGCCTCTGGCTCTGCAGAACACACAGTGCCCCAGGTTAGGGACAAAAAAAAAAAAAAGATGGATGTGGATTCTCCACTGATTTTATGCATTCTTTCTCAGCATCACTGCTGGCCCATTCGACTCGGCAACAATGGCCTGTGGTAAATAATAAAACCTGAGGAAAATCTGGCAGCAGAAACAATACTTTCTGGCTGGTACCTATTTATTCTGTGCTTTAGGAGAAACCAAAGTCCAGAAGACATTACATTTATTTCAGTAGCCATGGGACTGAGAGGACCACTGGCTTCTAGCAAGTCCTCTGCCATGGCAGCTCTCCCCCTTCCAACACCCCGGCATGCAGTGTGCTGGAAGCATTTTCAGCAACGTGGAAACAAGTGCACAAGGAAATCAGCTTAAAACCTAGAGCCTCAACATCCCTCCCCAAAAAGCACTTAGCCAGTGATGTCAGGCACCAATCAGAAGGCAACAAATTTGCAACAAAAAAGCCAAACCAAAGAGAGCCACTGGCTACATTTCAGGGAAAAGAAGGCACCAATGCTCTGTGATGGATGTTTGTAGATTCAGTTTTTAGTAAGATCAACTACCTTGCCAGCCCAACAAGGAGCCAAGGCACTAGAAGCCTTGTCCTCAAAGCTCTGTATCTGAAATTGAAATTCACAGTTTTGAAAAAAATAGTATTGAAATACTATAATTTTTTAAGTCATTGGCAAAAAAAATCCCAAAAGCCAAATAAGAAAAAAAAAAAATCCCACTGGTTTCAAGAGTATTTATTTCCTTCAAGCTACTTCTTTCACAAATTCTCTTACACCACTCAGATCCTGGTGCCACCTTCTTTCCTTCTGGTGCCGAGCTGTTCTCTCTTGGGTTGGTCTCTAAGATCTGCAGGGCAAAGCCCCTTTTCTGCAAGCCTGGGAAGCCCCACGGTGACACCCAACAAAGCCAAAGCTGTCAGTACCTGCTGAAGAAGTCCAGCTTCTCGTCGTGGGAGTTGAGGTGCTGCTGGAGCTGCTCCGAGCTCATGAAACGCCGATTGCACTCGTAACAGGGCCAGTTCTTCTCCTGCTCCCTGAGAACTGTGTGCAGTTTGAGATGTCAGTAACAGCATTTCAGCCCCTCCAGTTAAACACCTCAGCTTTTTCCCCAAGCCTCTGTGGGCCATTATCTCTGCCCTGAAGGTTGGACAGGCTGCAGAATACCCAGCACTGCTCCATTTGGCTTTGCTTTTGTCCCCTCTGCAGCGTGCCATGACCACAGCCCGTCAACAGAGACACAAACATGTCCTTGGACAATTCACATGAAACTAGCAAGTGCTCAAAATATTCAGGGAGATTCTGAAATTCACCCTGTATGGAAGAGGACAGGATGGTGTCTCTGGCACAAATTAGGGGAGATCAATCTAAAGCAGTTGCACATCAGTTTATGGCACAGACACAACATTAGACACTGAGTACAGACACACACACCTCTCCCAACAGCAGCCTAATGCTTTCCAGAAACTGAGGCAAAAGGTTAAATTATTGTAATATTAGCATGAGAAGAGGTAGTGGAAATAAGTTCCAATAACCCAATCTAGATCTGGTTTAACTTTTCCCAACCTAGTAGAAACCTGGGAGCACTATACACATCATGTACTCTAGAATAAGAACTGTAACACCCAACCACCATCACACAGAGAGCAGAAGAGCCCAAGTTACCCTTCCTTTCCTCCTCAGTTATGTCATGGATCTTCTGGTTCACAAACTCAGCATAAGAGGCAGCATACCACACCTGCAGCAGGAATAAAGGTAACAGAGCACTTAAAACCACAGTTAAAGGGGATTCATTTGAAAATGAGTTTTAAGCAACACATTTACTCCACTTGCCTCAACCACTCACTCACTGCTCCTTTCATCCTCAATAGCAAAGCCTGGTGAGATCAATATGCTCCCACTGAGGAACAGAAGAGCTTTGCTCAGAAAGCATTTCAATTTAATTTTAGGGTCTAGCCTCCCAGTATGAATGTTAATCTAGCACATGGCTACCAGTAGCTCTAAAGGAAATAAGATTAATCTCTTCAAACCCAACTGCATAACAGCAGAGTCCTGTTAGTTGTGGTACCAAGAGGAATGGAAAAATTTTTAACTGGGGCGATTTCACATTTCTTTCTGCTCTCTTTACATAGACAATAGGCAGCATCATCCACAGAGACTCATTTAAAGTCTTTCTCAGCTTCCAAAGGATTAGAGCAACACAGTCCTGCTTTGCAAAACAAAGATCTGCCAGGCAGCAGCACGATGGACCCACTTCTGTTCTAGGAGGGATTTAGGAAGCCTTAGAGCCACAGGAGGCAGGAAGACAAAGTTTATTAAAGCCTGCAAGCAGATGCTCACATTGAGCTGAGAATTCTTGCATCCTTGCATCATTTCATCTGTTTGATTAAAAAGGGACAGTTTTAGAAGAGAATTTCTCAGAGAAGGCATGAACAGATTTTCAGCATGAAAAATCCAGGCAGGTTTTAACTTGCACTGGGCCACAGGCATTTCCACAGTAGTGGTGGGTGGCACTTCAAGGACTCACTCGAGGTGTGTGTGTGTAACTCTGCAGGAATCTCACTGGCTGGGCAAAAGAGAAAGCCTGGAGCTCCTGGAATACTCACCTGACATGTAATACAGAACTTCCCAGCTTATAACTCACTGATCCTCACAGTCCAATCTCTGGACAAAATTTGTATGAGTCCCTTACATCCACTTGGAGAGGAAACCCCATTATTGAGCTCAGGCAATTGGCTTTCAATTATCAAACCAATTCTACCCTAAAAGATACTCCTAACACACAGAGTAAGAAAAATTATGCTTCTACAGGCAGGTCTGTACAGAGTTAAGAGTCTGATTTCAAATTGCTTTAAAAACTGCTGAGAAAATGATGTTTGCATACACTTAAAATGGATTAATAAGATTTCTAGCGATTCAACTTCAGAGATTCCTACTCTTAGAGTGTATAAACATTCTTTAGCCCTGGTTCAGTGAGTGTGTTTAAAACAGTTGCTCTTCCAAATAAACTGTTGACATCTATGTGCAAAAAGAGATTTGAAGAACAACAAACAATTTCCTGATGTTAAAATTTTTTAGTTCCTCCCCTGGTGCTCCAACAGATGTTGAAAGTGAAGGCCATCTCAGCCAGCCTTGCTATTTTGAGCTCCAAGTAACGAATGCATTTCGAGAGGGAACAAAACCAAACTCACAGGGAAGTCACAATATTCTTTATAATTTTCCACATGCAAAGTTTCAAAAGTTCCAGGAAAGTTCTCCCAGGTAAAGGGAGAGACCATATTCACTTAAGGCATCAAGAAACAAGTCAAGGGCACACAGGACTAACTGGAACTAAAAAGAATAAGATTGCTGCAACAAAAATTAGACTGCAGCAGCAAAATATATGCAGTGTAAAGCATGACAGTGAGAGACAAGTAATTTACATAGTTTTACTGAACTTCCTGATTTTCTACCTGAGCCAAAGCTTATTAAAATTCCTAAGTGGTGGCCAACTACTTACTGACTTTAGTGGCACTTGACTCAGACCATCAGAGAAAAAAAAAGCCCTATAACTATTTAGAGCAACATTTTCTGACATTTGGACATGCAGTTATTAAGCAGCAGCTCTTAAGGGACAATTTAATCAGTAGACAATGAGAACCCTGAGACACGAGCAGTGTCCTACCTTGAGCTCCTGCTTGGGCTCCACGTTTTTGATGGTGGTGTAGTAGATGTGGTGGCCATACTGATAAGCCACGAGGTTCTGCTCCAGGTGGTTCTGGGCCGGCCGCACAAACATCATCCAGTTACACAGAGCCTCGCTGGAAAGTTCAAACCACAGGTCCTCTTGCAAGTCCCTGTCTTTTCTGTCACCCTTATCAAGTGAAACCTGTAGCAAAATCCAATTACACGTCATTAACTGCCTGGTTCAAAAGAACTGGAGTTACTAACAACTGTGCCCATGCAACTGGTGCATTAGGGGAGCAATGAAGGCACAGTTAATTTTTTCTCTTGGTTAACAGGGGTCCTGAAACAGGCAGAAAAAGTACTTAAAAATGGGTAGTGATTTAAGCAGGGAGATGTGATGGAGCCTTCCAAGAGTTTCAAGGACAAGAATCATTCATTAAAAGGGTCAGGCACAGTATGTCCCTGGGGCTAGAAATGAGTTGCAGCTTTAGTAGGATACAGAAACATCAGTCAGATGTTTCTTACTGGCAGACCCACTTCTCCTTTCATTTCTTGACTCAAAACATTGCCTCAGGCTGGGAGTAGCACTTCTTTAGCTGAACTTCTCTTGGGTTGCTGAATCTGCCTGTGGTCACAACTTGCTTGTCAGACACTGCCCATCAGAGTACTCCTAAACTGCAGGCCTGAACTCCAGTAAATAAAGGAGCAATTTTTATAATGAAACCAGGAAATGGATAGATAAGTCAGTCAAATCCATTTTACCCCACACCAATGACTTGGTACAAGAAAGGGGAGAAAAATCTCTCCTTTCCCCTCCATCTTATGGGGGAGAGAAGGGAAAGGGAAGAAAAGCAGTTTGAACTGAAGTTACTGCATGACAAAAGAAAGGCTGCAAAGCATTCTCAGATGGGGCTGCTGTTTTTATGTCCAGATGCTGCTCCAGCTCATATGAGAGTGACTCACAGCCTTCCATGTTATGCACCCTATATATCCTAACACTACAGAGCCAGAACATTCACCAGGATTAGTGTGTCTCCCCAAATCATAGAGAAAGTTTGGAGCCAAAGCAATTTGGGTGTTCCTGAGTTACACTGAGGTAACAAACGACCGTGTCTGATGGAGGTAACAAAAGAACGTGTCTATTGATCAAGATCAAATGACAAACTCATGAAAATCAAAGCTCAGGCACAAATTGACCCCTTCTTCTCTCCCCCCCCACCTACCCCTTACCTTCAGATGGATGTAGCAGTCTTTGAGCTCAGTTTGTCTGACCAGGGGCCCTTCCACAGGCCCAAACTGCGTTCGCTTGGGGATGCGCCGTTTGGAGAAGACTCCTCCCAAAAACCTGTCAATGTAGAGCACCAGGGGCAGGCTGGCCCTGGCCCGGGTCAGCACGGGCCGGTTGGGGATGGGGTGCAGAGGGCCGTGCTTGGGGCACACCGAGGGGTGGGCGTTATTGCACTCCTCACACCCTGCACACAAAGGCAGAGAGGACACCGTCAGGCACACACACACGCAGCTCCCACACAGCCTCATCTCCCTCTAAACATCTCTGGCTCAGCTGGGGGAACATTATGCCAATAGCCTGCCTAGATTTTACAACATTGGAGAGGGCAGCCTCCTGCAAAATGAAGAACAAAGCAGTTCAGAGGCTTTAACAGAATGTTGTCTTTTCAGTAAAGCAGCCCAAAGTGAGTCCAGCTTTCTGGGCATAAAGGTGTTTACTCGTTACTGCTAAAATCAGAATTGGTTTCAACTCCATTTATCGATGGAGAGGAAACTGAAAAGGGGAGGGCAGGCAATACACTAAACAATAATTCAAATGCTTACACAAATCATTGGGATCAAAGGGTCGAGGTGGATCTGGATCCCACTCATCCATGTCAGAGTCTTCCCCATCTTCATCCTCATCTTCATCCTCATCATCTTCCTCTTTTGTTTCTATCCTTTCCATCTGATTCTGCAGAGGTGCTAAAGGGTCAGAACCATCCACTGCCTCCATGGGAGGTAACACCTGGTTATGCACCGGTAATGATGCCTGGGGAAAGAATTCACAAACCATCAAAACTGACTCAGGAAGAAAACTACACTCACAAAGATGAGCAATGAAGGTCCTTGCTAGCCTACCCTTCCTGCTTCCTTTGGTAATGGAGAGAAGGACAAGGGGAAAGTGAAGTGACTGATAAACATCTGCTGAGGGATGTTTGGTGTTGCTGCTGCTGAGGCCTTGCTCAGGACACCTCTGTGTCACTCCCTGCCTCCACCCTGCCAAGAACTCGGTTCCCAGGAGAAGAAACTGAAATCAGGGAAACTCTGCACCCTCACAGAACTGTTGAAACAAAGTCCAGGCTCTGTGGAAATTATCTAGAGCCTAAAGCTGTATTTTAACTTATTTTGTACAAGTGAGAAAATCCTGCACTTTGGTACAAGAGCTTCTAAAACCAATCCCCAGAGCACACAGGCAGAGGCCAATAAGGGATGAGGCAACATGGGGCCTAGATATAAACTAAGGGCCATGAAGGACAGTGGAGGGCATTGCATTCTTCCACTAATTTTCAAGTTTATCCCTTTCTTTCCCTACCAAAAAAATTAGGTCTTTGAAGTGCAGTGCATATTTCATCATCCACACAGGTTTCTCAGGTGGAGAACAAAAAATGCCCCCAGTAAAGCTGCCTGAAAACACTGGCAAGGAGACCCAGAGGATGTTGCTGTGACAGTCAGCGTTACACCTTCTGTTAACTTCACTTTCCACCGCTGAGAGGAGAATTTTAAGGTGGCTGCTCGAGACAGAACCATCTGCACAACAGGTTCCTCTGTGTATCAAACACGATCTCTCATAAAATCCCCCACACGTTTCATGGCGACACTATGGAAGACAGATCTGTTCCTCACACTCAGCCACGTGCCATCCCCTGAGACGATGGAGCGATGGAATCAGGACATGGAGAAGGAAAGGGTTGCCTGGCACTTACTCTATCTGCTTGTGGCCCCTGCTCCAGAGCCACGGGCTGGGGGGGGTCGGCAGCGCTGCCGAGCACGGACAGGTTGGTGGGGTTGATGCTCTGGGCAGCAGCAGGCAAGAGCACCGTTACCTAAAATCACAGGCACTCATTTTAGCACTGCACAGATCCACAGGGGCCCTGCCCTCCATGCACAGCTCCCTGTGAAAACCACAGCACTGCAACGACCTCCGGGGTTTGCGGGAGGGATGATGGGCTTGGGAAGAACCTGCAGCTCCTCCAGGGACAAAGGGAAAGGCTGCAAACCTCAGTGCAGACTTTGCAACTTGTGAATTACCTATCACTCATTTTTAAATCAAGGCCCTCCCCAGCCTGGGTTCAAGTGGCACTAAAAGATGTGAGGAGCTCTTTAGGTCCTGGTAAAACCAGTGATTTGGGGTCTTCTTCTCTTCTACACACAAATCTACTTTTTTTTTTTTTTTTTAAGGGAAAAAGTAAAGAAGGGAAAAGAGACATCTCCTCTTTTTTGCCTATCTTTCTTTTTCTCAAGCAAACCCTGCTCATGGCAGGGCATTGGAATTAAATGAGCTTTAAGGTCCCTTCCAATCTAAACTATTCTGATTCTATGATCCAGGATCCATTAAAAATGAATCCAAGAGGGTGTACTGACCTCACTGGAAGATCAAACTCTCAAACTAGAGGATTCCAACCCTTATTTTCCTTTACATTATTTGGTCACACTATACATTTCTGTTTACATACTTTTTTGGAGCAGTAACAACCACATCAATGCCTATTACCACACTGTTCTCACACATTCAGCAATAAACCTAAGCAGAACTAAGATCCCAGTAATCACCTTTCCTGTCCTTTGTTTCCTTCTTATCTGTGCAGGAATTTGCACAGTTATCCCACATGATGTTTCATCCTTCTCTACAGTTGACATCATGTGGCTTCCAGTTTGTGCCTCTGACTGTTAAGCAGCTTTTATGCTAAAATCCAAGCCCCTGCCTCTCTGCAGAGTGCTTAATAAATATCAGATAAAACTGAGTGCAGTGAATTGTGCCAGCAGTGAAGGAGCAGACAAGAAAATCCTTACCACAAGGACTCAACCTTAAAACTCCAAATCTGGTTGCTTTGTTTAAAGAGGTACTAAGAGTAATTTATGAAACTGCTTAAAAACTACAGCAAAAAAAGACTTCAGGGAGCAGTGTGATGGTATAGGGGACACCAGGATGACAGCTGAACTAAGCTGTCTGGTATTGACATTTCTGATGCCAAGTGGCAACAGGAAAGGCATTATTATTATTATTCCATGGCACAGCTCCAGGCTTCCAGCAAGGAGAGGGTCACACAAGCTTGTACCTACTCTTAGCACTGTCTACTCCTAATCACTTAGGTCCACTTCCATGCCAGGCACTGCACAGAATATAGGCATTATTTTTAGAAACCTTTCAATTTCTTTTTAAGATAAAGTTTCTTTTAAAAGCCAAGGGGAGGTCTCGTTGTTATTTTATCCTTTGTTGTCAGTTCAGGGGTGTCCCACATGAAATGCTGATGTAAAAACACCTGCAGAGGCAGAATTTGCCACAATAAGGGATTAACCAGCCACCAAAAAATTAATATATCTGCCAGGATTGATGTCAGAAAGTGCTGGAAGGGAGGACAGGCTGAGGACACACACAGATGTTCCTGCCCTTGTACCTGGGATGGTAACAGCACATCTGCTGTTAGAGCCTCATCTGCACTGCACACAAGTAATCTCTACTTTTAATTATTCATGTGCTAAATGAGCTTTAAGACAATTAAATAGGCATTTTTGGCTTCTATTAAGAAGCAGGGAAATTGATGTGGCAATCCAGAGAACCAGAAGAGAGGTAACACCTTTACTGTGTCAGTCATTGTTTCCTGCCTGGGCCTCAACAGTTTAGGAAGTCTTTCAGTAATAAAATTTGTTTTCAGAACACATTCAACCCTTCACTCTGCCTCAAGACTGTCAATAAACACCCATTTTAATGATGGCTTGGGTGATGATTCAGATCCAACACATCCATTCACACATGCCATTAAAGCAGTACCAATTTAGAGTCCATGACAGCAGAGAATTCCAACCAGAGAGACCAGACAGCACCTGTCTCTACCACAATACAGTCCCCAAAGATAAGTAAGAGTCAACAATAAAACCTTTCCATCCATGAGGCATTACAAATAAAAGAAAATCACCAAAACTCCACTTCATTCCACTCCCAGCCTACCTCACACTGGCAAGCCCAGCACACCCTGGAAAGGTAAGGGAGCCACTCACTGAACTTCCTCGGGTTTTACACTCCATTTCCTTGGAAGCTTCTGGTAAAACTAGAATTTGATCCAATTTTTCTATCCCTCAAGGGCCTTTTGTGGACTTTAAAGGCATTTGGATCAGAATCTGTATGAGGACAACTGCAATCCCAGCCTTTCCACAATGGCATGTTCAGGTAAAGTCAGCCAATCTGCTGCTGACTCCTTTAAAGGGACACTGTTGAAAGATTTTTCATTCTATCTAGGGCAGTAAATTGGAATTTTTGTTGAGCATGAATCGAAGTGAATAAACTCAAAGTCAATCTTAACTTTCATGACCATTCATGCACAAGCTGGCCATGGCAATACTGGCTTTCTGCCCTTGATTGAGATGACAGGACATAACTGAAGACTGCTTTTGGACAATTTCAGGGACAGTCATTACCCTCCAGCACCACAACAATGTCCCTTTGCCTCCCCTAACTGCTCCCTTAGAGCTTCAGGCCCAAGATAAACAGTGTCTCTTCCTTACCTGCTGGGTGGTGGCATCCTGTTGGACATAAGCCACTTGGGATGGATCTGTAAACAGAGTCTAGACAAAGTGAAAAAGGCTTATCAAACCAGCCCTGCTGTTGTTTGCTCCCAAGTCACACAAAAATCACCCTGCCACCAAGAAATGACCCACATTTAAGTCTTTGCCAACTTCTAAACGTGACTATTATCACAGAACATTACTTCAACTTACCCAAGTGGATCTACACAGAGAAATTAAAATTGGGTGGTGCTCCATAAAAGTTTAATATCATTAATTATGTGGCACTTTTCATCTGTATAACTAAAGTGTTTCGCCTGGTAATTGCAGAAATCCCTTTGTCAGTTGTTGATTTGACAGAATCTACAGGAAGGTAATTCAAAAGCTCTACCAAAACTACTTAAGGGCAGGACAGAAGATAACTGTGAGCTTTTTCCTTCTGCAAATTCACAAGACTTCTGCACATTTTCCTTTGAGGAGCCATCAGGCACATCCCACGTGTAAATTTAGTAAGGGCAGAGATACCCTCCCAAAATATCCTCTCAGGAGCTGGTTTTGTGTAACAGCTGAGGGCTGCACAGGACAGAGCGTGCCACCAGGCCCTGCCAACCTGGCTGGGGGTGTCAGGTACGTGCACTCTGCAGCTCTGCTAATCTGTCCTGTCAGCAAAGACACTACAAAACACCCTCCACAAAGCCAGCCTGGTCCTTTTGAATCTGTCCACACAGAGCCACAGATGCACAGCACATTAACCCCATCCAAACACCGTGCTGTCAGGGAATAAAAGCTATTTGATGTGATTATGCAAGAAGCAAAAGAATATAAAAGGTCTGTAAAATCAACAGCTCTGCAGAGAGACTACAAAATTAGGTTGAGCACACTGAGATCCTCTGCAAAGAGACACGACTGTTATTGTAACTATCAATTATGACAACTGTGCTACACAAAACAAGGACTCTTCCAGAAGGCACATAGAGGGCTTTTAGCTTTTTACTGAATACAACAGAGGCAGAATTTCTGGAGAGATTATCCATGTTTTGGAAAACACCTCTGAGCTAATTACAATCTCGTCCACCTTCGGTGAAAATAACCAGCATTTCATAATTCATAGCCTCCACAGCCTTTGATGAGCACATTTGCACATCAGACAAACGAACAGCATGAAGTCCCTGCTCAGCAGTGGGCAGGGAAAAACTGCTATTTTCCAGTCGTACCACTTGGCTGGCAACTGGCTCTCATCCCAAACATCCCGGGTTTGTTTTCTAGGTGCCAAACCCGGGCCGGGCTGGGAACCACCACACGTGCCTGCGTAGCCTCCACGGGGTGGATGTAAACGAGGGTGTGCTCCGAGGTGTCCACCGAGGTGTAGGAGGTGCCATCGGCCGTGTAAACCACCTGCTGGGCCGCACCCCGCTCCTGCTCGTCGCTGTACACGATCTGCGCCACCGCCCCCCCCTCGGGGACAAAGTGCACCTGGGGGGATAGAAAACACGTCCTGGAGGGACCCCACGGCAGGGCCTGGGGACAACACAGCCTGCCCTGGAAAGCAGGGAGAGCCTGGGCTTGAAACACTCTGCACTGTAACTCAGCTGGTGTAAAAGGCACCCACCCATACTTGGTTCTTGCGCTAAGAAGAAGAGAAGCTGAAGAGAAGCAGCTCATCTTTGAACTGCTGTACCCATGGAATTTATTGGTGTGTTGTTTCCCTTTATGCTCCCATTCCTTTCTGGATTTATGATAATGACTTCATTCAGCTAGTTCTGTAGTTGCAGATGATTTCTTTTATCTTGTGAAGGGCTAGCAGAACTTATTAACTGTGATATTGCTTCAAGTCATAGTGCTGCACCTCTCAGAGGCAGCAGTAGGGCATGTGAGATGTTTGTCTGTAGTATGTACCTGCAGTATCAGGAGAAAATTCAGCTATTTTAACAGACAAACATGTAACTCAAAGCATTAAGCAATGATTCCAAGGACCACTGGAACAAGTTATGTCTAGGGCAGCAGTTTAAATCCCAACAAGTTGATTTTGACAGAACATTATGATCATAAATGATGATTAGTGGTCTACATTAAACAAGCCAGAATACTGAATTCCAGTGGAAATAGGAAGATGTTTAGCTTTTGACATCCTTTATATGCTGAAAACCTTTTTTCAGTGTGTAGGAAAATAGGACAGTTAGCAGGAAACCCAGTTTGAGTATCTGTATTCATATTCACATCAAACACTTTCACATAAAACGATGCCACAGTTACATGTTTTGTTTATTTTGCTTCACCTTTCAGCTTATGCTGCAGGAGACACCTGGTACTCCCCCGTGGCTGCTCAGTGCTGATTCTGTACAATAAATCCTCACACAAACACTCCAGTTTCACATTTGGAGAGCACTCTGCAAATACTAATTAAGCCTTAAAACTGCTGTGTGCAAACAGCAGCATGGTTATCCCCTCGTAGAGAGAGAAGGGAACAGGAGCATCGAAAACTGCCTTTCTTGGCAAATTTCAGAGCTGGGAATTACCAGGAGAGGCAGAATGTCTCTGCTTGGGGGTCAAATGCCATGCAGCACCCTCTTCATTATGTACTTAAAAGAACAAATCAATTTACAGCCTTCTGGAAATTCCCAGCTGCGCTGTCTCAGAGTCAGAGGGACGAGCTGCACGCACCAGAATCTGACTGCATTAGTCACTACAATTAACATTTCTCCCTTCCTCAGTACCCAGATGTCCGACAGGAAAAAATTATTCATTACTTTCCCCAAGGTCCACCCACAGCTCCAACTGATTCGACTGATGCCATCAAACAGGCTGCCACAGACCACAGATTTTGTTAATGTGCATGACTCTGAGCACCCTTTCACTTTCCCACGTGGTTATATACATATATGTATATATATTTGGACACTGAAACTTCTAGAGCCACTGGCTGGTTTCGTTCAGCTCATTTTTAGAGCTCTGGGTCTTCACTGTTGTGGTTTGCACAGCTCAGTTTCTGAAACTTTAACCTGAAATCACCACATGTTTGTATTTCTCCTCAAATAAAAGCTGAGCTTCTGTAACCTAAGCCAGGGTCGGATGGGAACTAAACCTCCAGATCAATCCCAATCCATCCTGAGCAGAATGAGCTCTATAAAGCACTAATCACCTGAGCAGTGTTCTGTTCCTGTGCTGCAGACTCAGCCCACACCTGGGAACCTTCCTCTTTCAAGTCCATCTCCTCCCTGCCGGGGTGTTCCATGAGGAGAGAGATCTACTGGAGGAATGCCTGGCTGGAGGGATTCATCTGTTCACTGTGTTTCTGCTTCCAGAAGACAAGGTGATCTTCAGCAACATGGCTGCAAAAAAGCAGAGGGCAGCAATGTGAAAACCACTGTGAGGTAATTATTATCATCAGCTGCCACACTTCTGTACCAGGCCTGGCTTTACAAACACCCCCTTTTAGACCCAAACACCTTAGTGAGGGGAATAAAGGAACAGAAATCTTATCTCATTCACCAGGGTCAAGTCCTGCTGTGCAACACTTTCCACGTCCCACTGAGGAAACAAGTCAAGCAGCACTGAAAGGTTACACTGAATTCTCCCTGCACATCTTTCCTTGGCCACAGGCAGACCACGACTCATACACTGTCTTTCTGGCACCTACAGGCCTAGAAATCAATAAATAATGCAAAAAATGGACCCTAGGCTTCCAGCAGGAAAACACCACATTCAGAAATGCATGACCAGTTTGCCTGAAAGAGGTTTGGGGGGAGCACAAAAGGGCTTTCCATGAACAGGCAGCTTTCACCTTGGCCAAAACCACAGCCCTGGGTGGTACAAGACAGTGCTAAAACAGCCAACTTCTACAAAAAGAGCAGGGAAACTCAACCTCTAATTCACAGGAGCCCCAAAGATCCTGACAAACTGCTTCCAAGCTTGATTTTATTCACCTCTCACAGTTTTATTGGGGCCTCTCAATCTGCCGTTGGGATCCCAGCAGGGTAATTTACAGCTCTGGTGATTGCTTTCGTCGGTGGTTCAGCACCTTCCCAATCCTTCCCCTCTAATGTCATATTAAATCACAGGAATTAGCATGAGGCTGAGCCCATTTAATTTCTCAGCTCCTCCAATTAAGTTTATTTTATACCCAGTGCCTCTCTGGGCTGATCCAATGCCAGTACCAGCCTGTGCTCTGGGAGAGAAGCAGAAGGCTCCTTGCTGATGCTTTCATTCATTTGCATTTTAAATGCAAATTATTTTAGTCATAATTTATCCCTATAAATGTTAGCATTTGGCTTGTCATTGACAAACTGAAAAATAGATAAGGAGGGGTAAAAAAAGCAGCAGGCACTTTCTGCCTCCTGCTAATTTTGCCAGCAAGGACTGAGCTGTGCAGACCCGGGCACTGAGTGTTCCACCCGTCCTGGCCAGGAATAAATCCACAGGACAGGGAAGCCTCACAGTGGAGGGAAAAATGGGAATAAAGGGACAGAAATCTTATCTCCATCAATACTGCTCACCACAAAACATCCCCAAAAAGCACTGAGGAGAAAAATGAAAAAGAAATCCATGTACCTGAGCGCAAGGCTTGAGCTCAGGATCTCATTAGTACCAGCAAATTAACCACAGCAAACAATTAGGGGGGATAAACACCAGCCTTGCTCTGCAAGTGTGAAAGCCAGGGTCATTCACAGATAAGTATTATTAGATAAATATCATGTCCCAGAACACACAAGCTCTGACCTATAAATAAATATCGTCCATCCCTACACAGCACCTTTTATCCAGCTACTTGTCACGTTATTGAGGATTAAATCAGGGATTTTCTCATACCTAATCCTACCTCATTCACTGACCTCCAGCACTCATTTGATCACCACTGTGTGACACATGAAGGCATTTATGTCAGTAACACACTCTGAGCAACTTTTATGGAAAATTTAACACCCATCCTCTTGATATTCTTTGGTTGGTTGATCCCAAACAGCTCTTTTCCTTAATTGTCAGTATAAATCAAGAGCCATTTCAGATAATTGCACTAACAATAGCCAGTGGTTTAATCAATTACCTAATTGCTTAGAAAAATAAAAATAAACACTGTAAGTTTCAATTTCGGGTGGCTTGATTTAAGAAAAAATAATTAACCTGTTTAAAAAATATAATTAAATTAACCAGTGATTGAATTAAGGGAAAGGCACAGTTCTGGCTAATTCCACACGGTGCAACAAGTAGCAGAATTTTTGGCTGACCTTCCCTACCAGCAGACACTGAAGGGCTGAGGGAAGATGCTGACTCACTCCTGCAGACTCATTTTGGCACAAATAACTTACAACTTCAGTGCAAAGGAGACCAAAGGCTTCAGGCAGGGTCTTTATTAGACAAAACAGGGCATTAAGATTCATCTCTGGAAAAAAAAAAATAGTACCAAAGAGCTGCAAAGGAAAGCAGAAGACATTTCATGGTTCTGAAAGTCAGCACTCATGGCAAATCTTGGGGAAAAAAAAGCAAGGCTGAGCCAACTTCAGGGGCTCGGTGGTGCAGTTTGTGTAAATGGTCCTGTTAGTGCTGTTCTTCCCAGAAATGAAAATAATAAACAGCTCAGCCAATTGTGCAGCAATAAAGGGACAGCATCACGAGCTGCAGGATTTGCTGATGCTTTCGACTTCTGTACTTCCAAATACACCCTGGATCTGCCTCCGGTGGGCATTCCTACCAAAGCCTGCATCTCCATGAGTTCCATCAGCATTTCCCTGGAAATATGGATGTGCAGGAGACAGGCTGTGCCCCACAGAGGTCCCAAGGGCTGGCAACAACGAGCACAGGAGGCAGGAGCAAGTGCTGATGTTCAGCTGTGAAACAAGCCCAGGGGCAGGAGCTGGAAAACATAAGGTGGCACCAAGTCACTGCCACAGAACTGCCTGGAAACACCAACACCTGAGGGAGTTTTCCAGCACTGATGGCAAAGACCAAGCTAACTTTGCTCACTACTCCCCCCCAGGAGTAACTCCTGCTGTTAATCCTGCAGGGTCTCATTTCCTCCTCTAAATCCCCCTTTCAGTACCCATTACAGCTCTGACAGCAGCAACCACAGCACCTCGAACCATTTCCCTGGGAGTTCCTCTCACTTTTGGTGGTTTTGCAGCAGAAATAAATGTGGAACTTGGGGCACAAGCACTGCCAAACTGTTGGCATGCAGGGAGCACTCTCTGCCCTGTTTGCCCATGGATTATCCTTTGCAATTGTTGATTTTTCTCACCATATCCCACACACATCAGACATTTTCAGACAAGCTAAACAAACACTAGGACAAGCACCTCTGCTATGTCCAAAGGATTACCATATGAATTTGCACAACAATTTGAAACTGAATTGCAGAAATCCTGCAAGAAAAAAAAAAGATAATTAAAGATAAAAGGAGCTGTGATAGGATATACTCAGCTTTTTCCCAATAGGGAGAAATTAGGCTACATTTTGTAATGATTATCCATGTAGAGATTAGTCAAACAATAAAGCAAACAGCTTGCCTCAACTAATGTTAAATTTCTGTGTTATGTATGCCACAAGTATATTCTCTCTCCTGGGTTCTGATCCACTGGTAATGACACTTTAAATTTTGAGAGGCCTGGCTCAAATATTACTTAATGTTCCATCACTTTTTGTCGTAACAAGTATTTCAATAACTTGGAAATGATGGAATTTGAAAGATTAGTCACATTATGAGGCACATCACCAACAATTCTGTCAGCACCACAATGTTTTCATCCACCCTCACAAGCATCATGCATGAGCGAAAGCAACGCCAGTGTGAGATGTTAAACCATTTACAACAACTGCAAAGACAGCATCCACCTCCCCAAAACAGCAGGCATGCCTCTCCCAGTCCATGCTGCACAAGCTGAGATGGCAGCAGGTATAAATATCTCCCAGCATCACTCCAGGACGTCAGAGTGGAGAGGCAGTGACAGTCCTGTGTGTCACCGGTGTGAAGCAAACACAGCGTGAACCGAGAGCCAGCTCAGCTCCCATGACTTTGAAATATCTCCTCCAGTGGAAGATGAGCTCATTCTGAGCTGTGCAAGTAAATCAACCACCCCTTCAAGACAAAGCAGGTTGGTCTCTACACCGCTCACATTTACCTTCCCATTCCCTACCCAGCAGAAATGTCTTTCCTGCCCTCAGCATCAGACCCCCTGAGCCGCCACAACACCCACGTGTGACACCCCACACATGCACCCACCACCCCCCAAACACTCAGGGAGTGGCAGTGGATGGTGCTCTAAGAGAAAAACACAGACAGCACAGTCACTGCTGTTCTGTGTTCAGTGCCTGAGTGTTTTGGACACAAGCTGAACCCAGTGAACTCAGGCAGTGCTTCAAAGGAAAGCTCTGAAATTCAGAGAAAAGCACCACCAAAAAAAAAAAAAAACCCAAAAATCAACAGTAACCATATTTTCTTGGCTATTAAGGAATAGCAATTTCTTTCAATGCTGCAACTACACAAGAAGATACAGAGACAACATCTCTGGGGACTTCATCTGCAGCAACCTCTGCAAGTCTCACTAAGGACATCCTACTGAGTGGCTGCAAACACTCGGTTTTTGCTCCTTCTCTGGGAGGGGAAGAATGGGGGAATATTAAAGCTGAGCGAGGGGCAGAGTCCCCCTCCCTGCTGGGGGAGCCAAAAAGCCACTGCAGTGTCTCCAATGAGAACCCAAGAATGGTGCATAAAGCAGATAACGTGATTTACTCCCCGGTGTAAAGCAGGTTTGCCATCACCTGGGGTTCCCTGCAGCAATATCAGCAGGGACCATCAGTTTAATCCTCCCAGGACTGAGCTCACTGACCACCCAGCCATGTGCAAAGGCAGCAAAATTGGCACAAAAGGGGCTTTACGACTCTGGGTCTTCCTCCAGCTTTTAATATGAAGATGATTTATTGTGCTCCAAAGGACCATGCAGAAAGCTTTATCCCACACTTAAGTTAATTACCCCAGCTTGCCTAGAAGGCAGAGAGGGTGCATTTCCTGAGCTCCCTTGGCAGGAACAGGCTTTGAGTGCAGCAGGAAGGGTTTGAACCTCGCTGAGGACTGAGTCAGGACTGCGTCACCTCCTCTGCAGCACCATCCATCACACACACACACATTGTTTCAAGGAACTCTGGCTCTGGGGCATTGTGCTGCAATGGTAACAATCAGGTAATGTATAACCACAACATTTATGCTCTACTGGCGAGTTAAAAGTGGAAATCATGCATAGGGCTGGCACAGCAAGGATTATTTATTGCCACGAAAGGAAAAAATGGCTTCAATTTATTTAGTCATGTAATAAAGAGAAGAGCTCAGCCAAACACCACCTCAGTCTTTACTCCAACTGTGCATAATGGATCTGTCTATATCCATATCCTTATGGCACATCCATCATGAGAACAGCAACGAGCTGCAAGAGAACTCGGAGATCACCCAGGCCAGCCCTGTCCTGCTGCGGCCAATGTGTCACAGGCCTTTCCTCCAGGGCCAGTGCCCAGCACAAGATGAATAAAAAAAGGAAAAGAAACGTCTGTATCAATGTGTGCTGCAGTGCTGCCCACGCAGCCTTCGAGAAGGCACACTCAGGGTTTGCTGTAAGAAAACAAACTGTTCCCCTCCAGCTTCCTCCTGCCACTTGTCTCGCATCCTTTCCTCCTCCAGCAGCTCTTCCCAAAGGTTCTGGCAATTGGAAGGGGTTGTTCCCCTTCCTACAAGTGGATGGTACCGCTCCCTTCCCCACCCCCTGGCGCCTCTCCTCTGAATTAAATCACTCCTAAAAGTCAGAAAGACAAAAGCTTCTTGTTCCTGCCCATGAAAACCACACCTGAGCTGGCTCCTTCAGAACAGCGGCTTCTCTGACAACAAATGGACTACCTGCACCTTAAAACAGGTGAGGACTGAGATGGAGACATCTCAGGGCTACAAACACAACTTCTGTGTGCTTTACTGGCAGGAAATAAAAGTGACAAATAGGCCCGACCTCCTGGTTTAAGCCCAAACAAAATTCACCACACAAAAGCAGCTCCCCTAATTAGCTGCACTTAAAAGTCCATTAGAATTCAGTTTACACAGCTGTAAGCAGCTGCAGGTGGTCATGAACACACTCGAAGTGGCTGCAGACTGCAAAGAAAATTGCCCTGGCAATGCTCATCCAGGGATTTTCTGTGCAGGGCAGGAGTAAGAAGACACCACAGACCTGTTCCTCTCTAAAATCAAATCGTTAATTATTGCATCAGATAATATTAATAACAATGACAGCGATATCTCATTCTCTGGCCAAGGTAATAAAGCTGTCTGCTTTCACAACGTAGCAAAGTGCCAAAACCCCTCTCAGTTCAGGAGATAAGTTTTCCATTTAAGGACTGACTAGAGCAAAACACCCTCTTGTATTATTTTTCCTAGAAATGAAGGCATTAGAAGGCTTGAGTCTGCCAATTATTTTATTGTGGCCACAAAAGCAGCAAAGAATCCTCTTGTAAAATCAGTTGGTGATTCATTAGCATCTCATCTTCTAACTGAACTAAAAGAAAAAAAAATAACTGAATTATTAAAAATATACAGAAGAAAGCTGAAGTTCAGTATGGTCGCTATTCCCACTGAAACTCAAAGAGAAATCCTGACAGGTATTTTACACTGCAATTTTTGTGCTTTTACATTCTTTAAGGGCCTGTAAGCACCACAAATATATCACGATACAACAGACAGGTTGGTGCTCAGGTACCAAAAAATGCATTGCAAATACTGACCCTTCATTTGTCAGGACTGTGGAGCTCAGTAGCTTTAACCAGGTTTAAATTCTGATTTAGGGTTCCTGCAAGAGTCCTCCTGAGGCTCTGCAATGAACATCTAAGACTTAAGAGGTGACCACACATAGCTTGGAACATCTTGTACAGCGAAATAACCCTATAAAGGTGAGTTTTCCCTTTAGGATGAGTAATTCTGAAAGGCACGGCACCAGGACCTCATTGTTCCATTCCAACTTAATCATTTAACAAGCTCCCACAAATTTTTAATGGAACCATGGAGGTTCAGGAGGTGGAACAGGACGACCCACCACCAAAACCCCAGGGAACAAGAGATGCACAGAAAGCTGCGTGCTATAACCACATCCCAGGCCTCAGGAACAGGCAAAGACAACCACGGTGGCACCAAGACCAGCCTCGGGAGAGCAGTGAACCCACAGCTCCCACCCAGCTGCTCCTGCTCGCCCCGAGACCCTCATGGACAGAACCCCCTCAGGGCAGTGGGGAAGGGGCTGCCTTCCCTCCACACCGAGCCTTAGGGCTGCCCAGCTGGGAGCCTTTCCCTGCACCCTGCCCCAAGGGGTGCCCTGACACCCCCTTAGGGCAGGACCCCGTGAAGTTGGGACCCAATGAATTTGAGACCCCATGAGAGGGCCAGCCCCTCACGGCCCTCAGAGAGCGGACTGCCAGCCCCCCACCTGCAACCCACCTTATATACCCTGGGCTGCCCCCCGCCGCCTCACACAGCCAATCCGAAGACGGGGTGCGACGCCCCCTCCCCTAATTCGGCCAATAGGAGGCAGGGGCGCGAGGCCCGCGGCCAATCAGCAGGCGCGCGTGCCCCCCCCTCACACAGCCCGCTCCCCGTCTCCCCGGCCCCGCCTGAGGGCCCTGCGCCATCGGCCCCCCGGGAGGGCGCCCGGCGGTCAGCCGGCCCCGACCACTGCGGGCCCGGGGGGGACGCGGGCCGCCGGCCAGGGCACGGGCATTGCGGCGGGGACGGGCCGGCAGCCCAGGGCAGCGCAGCCGTGCTGACCGCGGGGCGACCGGCCCAGAGCAGTGATGGAGGGATGAGACCCCCGCAGTGCTGGGGGGGCGCAAAAAGATGGCTCCGGCAGCCCCCGCCGCTGAGGTGCCGGGGTCCGGACTGTACCACACAGAGAGGGGGGGAGCAGGGGTGGGGGCAGCCCCTTCTCTCCGAGCCCGGGGCGGGTGGGGGATCCCGGCTGGGCCGGGGAAGGGGGGGAGCGGACTGTACCTCTCCCGCGGGGGGGGTGAAGGGGAATGAGTGCGCCCTGCTCCCCACTGGCGGGAGCCAACGGTTTATCCCGGCCCCGCACCGCCAGCTCCGGGCGCCATCTTGGGTGCGACTAAAACAACAAGTCCAAAACCCCCGGCGGGTCCCCGCGGCGCCCCCGGGCCGCGCTGCCCTCCCGGACCGTCCCATCGCGTTACCTGAGGGGGTCCCGTGCGGGCGCCGCGCCCCGGCCGCCGCCGCCGGCCCCGCGGCGGCCCCGAACCCCCCCACCTGTCCTCACCTCACAATGGTAGCTGCAGAGCGGGAGGGGGGGCGGCCGCCCGGGCCTCATTAGCATAATCTGCCTGGCAACAGGCCGCTGCGCCGCGCGCTGATTGGCTGAAGCGTCTCCGCCCGCCACGATGGGGCGCAAAACTGCTCCAGGGAGGGCTCGGAGCGCCCAGGTCAGGGGGCCTGGGGTGGGGGTCGGGGAGGGAGGACCCGGGCCCGCGGGAGGGGACGGCACGGGGGGGACCCCGGCCCGCGTTTTCGCTGCCCCCTGCGGCTGTGCGCGGCCAATCGGAGCGCCGCTCTCATCCCCGCCGGAGATGTCTCCGCCAATCAGGACGCGCCTTTTATCGCGGTGCTCCGCCCCCCCCGTGTGGGAGGTGGTGTGGGGGCCGCGCGCAGCGCCCCCTGCTGGCGGGGCGGGGCAGCGCGGGGCGCCCCCTGGCGGCGGGGAGGGCCGGGGGGCGCTTCCCACACGAACCAACCCCCCATTCCCAAATTTTCCAGGACGGGGAGTCCATCCCCCCCCTCCCCTCTGGATAACGAGGTGACTCCCCCAAAGCTCTCCTGGGCTCCAGGCCGCGATGCTCCGCACCCCCTCAGCCCCATCTGGCAGCCCCTGGTACTACAATTACCTAAAATAGTGTCAAAACCAGCGGGTTTCACCAGAATTTTACTTAAAAGCTGAGGCGTGAGCTATTAATATCTGTCCAGAGTCAACCCATGAGGAAATGCCCCCAAAAAGGGCTCCCTCTGCCTCACAGGGCCCTAACTGGCACTATAATTTAAATTTTTCCAGGCACTTGGGAAGCTCTTTGACCCACTAGCTCAGTAGATGTTTCTTAAACAAGACAACCCCTGTGTTTAGGACCTTTTTAGGTTTGTTCCAAGTGGCTCCATGAACTTTGTGTGCATAAACCCACTGTTCTCTGCAGCGTGGGCAGCCACAGATCCTGCAGTGACCCATTGTGGGCATCTGACCCAAACCCAGGGGCACGGGAAGGGGAAATTGGGGTCACAAATGAGTCACTGCTTTTGCAGAACTGGTTCTGCTCAACCTCTGCCCTGCGAGAGCACCAAGAAAGTCTGATCTTGGTGCAATTAAGTCTAATTTTCCATTAGGTCTGCCTTTTTAAAGGCCTGCACTAGTATTTTAAATTGAGAGCTGCAGGTGCATATTGAAATCATCCCCTGTTGTACTGACCCAGCCCTTCCATGAGCAATCAAAATTTAAAGAAAACCCCTCAGAGAGACAAATTTTCTAACTTGTGCTTAGGAACTTGATCTTAAAATGTTGGATATACATTTCAAACCTGAAATGAGGAGAATTAACTTAGTTTAGGAGCTTTCAGGTTTTTTTTTTCCCTCTCACAATACCTTTTTATGCCTCTGGGCAGTTGTCTTAATTTGAATTATGGCAGTTGTGGAGTTGATTTACTCCTCTGTCCCATAAAATCAGTTTCCATTTCATGTTGCCACACTGAAACATCAGGAGAACTAACAGCAATACATAAGACCAAACAAAACTTCTTTATTTCTCCTAAGTCTTAACAGGTACACGTATTACTTTTTTTAAAAAGTCAGTGTTTTCGGTGTTATATTTTTTTTATTTGGGTTTCCAAGAGTCTCCCTAACAGTTTGAAGACTTGCTATGCCACAGGTTGTTTTCCCCTCTGAGCCCAATCAGTGCAGGTTTCCAGTGGCTGCAGATGCTGCTCTGATGTAATGCCCATTGTAATTCCCCAATTCCACGTGCTGTTGCTGGTGCTCCAGCACAAGCTTTGTTTTCTTTGCTGGCAGAGAGAGGAGCCCTCACAGGAGGTTCATTTATTTCTTCCTAATCCTCATGAAATACATGAAACCAGCCCTGGTCTGGAGCAGTGCTGGGACCAGCCACCAAATCCTCCTTCTGCCCCTCATCTCCTGGCTCAGCAGATCCTCCTCTCCATCCCTGCACCACCTCATTTGGTGCTTTGGCACCTCCTCCCGTCCTGCCTGTTCTGTCTCTCCCCTCTGGCCACTCCAAGGTTCATTTTCCACTGTTTCCCACTGACTGTGTCCAGGTGGAAAAGCACATTGCAACCCCCACCCTGTTTAATTTATTCATTAATATCAATTTGCCCTCTTTCACTTGGACCTCCTCACCCTTTCCTTTCACCCACAAAAACCCTCTCAAGCCTCTGCCTTAAAAACACGCCTCCCACACCTTGGCCACGTTCCCTAAAGCTGCTCCCCAACCCTCTAGAAACATTTTTCTTGTCCCATCCATCCCCCTTTGGTTCAGGTTTCGTTGGGGTTATTGGATTTTTCTCCATGACATAATCTCATTTTTGAGGAGCCCAGAGATTAAATCATGACAAAGAGAAATGCTCAAGGGCTATAAACCCATCTGAGTTATGGAAGCAGCCCCTGCCTCGCTGGCCCTGGTGACCTCCCAGCCTCCATCTGTGCATGACAAGTAGGTACTTAGGCCCAGATTCCCAAATTAAACTGCACACAGATGGGCTGTGGATTGTGGCACCCACCTCCCTCCCCTGGTGCGAGTCAGCAGCTGGCTGTGATTTAAAACCCCAATCTAGGAGATGGAAAAACTTCTGTCCCTTAAAACCTGCTAAATTATAATGCAACTGGAATGGAATTACTTTTCATCCTGCACAGAGAATACAAAACATTAAGGGGGTGATGTGAATTCACTAGCTTAGAGCGAGCCACAATAAATTTAATTAAAGTGGCCTCATGTAAGACACATGCAAGTACAGCAAAGTTATCTTAGTTTGGTTCTCGGGATCATTTTGCCCCTAAAAAAATTAATTGGTGTTTTGGTTTTAAACAGGCTGAATTAATCCCTTTAACTGCAAGAAAAGGTTTGACTGAAAGAAATTTGGGGTCAGTGTTTTAATACCTAATGATCAACATTTGAAGTGATTTTATTTTGAATGAAAAGCATCTCATCCCATACATTCACTGTTGGCTCTCTGTGTCTCATCTGTAGTCACATCCCCCAATGTTTATTAATAAATATAAAGCAACACAGAAATAAGCCAGGAAACCACTTGCATTGCCCCCTCCCCTAATTTTTACTGAGTAAAAGATGCAGCAAGTTTCAGGAAAAGAGAGCTTTTCAATCCACTGAAAATCTATTTAGCCAAGCCCTGCTGGGGTGTGGGGATGGGAAAAGTGAGTTCTGGCAGCCAAAATGCCTGCAGGGGAAATGCTTTGCCACTCACACTCCAATATCTCCCTGACTCCATTCAAACAACATTTATGGAGGCTGCTGCTGCTCCTGATGGGGCCTCCACATCTCAGGGAAGATAAAAAGCAAGAATCCCTTTAGTCCTTGCCCCACCTATTTCAGTAGCTGGGTCTCTGAGGTGGCACAGTGGGACTGCAGTCAGGGACAACGTGGGAACCTCGCATTTTATTTTGGAACTTCCCCACCAACCTCTTGTGGTGTTGACTGTGATGGGCCAGGTGTAAATATTCTGCAAGGTTTGGCACAAAATCCGGGGTGGATTTGTTTGCACTGCTCGCCCTTGGTCTGCTCTACCCAGGAATAAATTCTTTTGGATGTTCCTGAGGTTTTCCATGGGGAGCTGCTGAGGCTGGAAGGGGATTTCCCCTCCAGTTCAAGTGAATTCACTGCCCAGCTCTGGTTGTGCCATTAGTAGGAAATCATTTGTGCACCAACTGCAAAATAAACACAGAGCCTGTTTGGGTTTCCTCTCCATTAAACAGGCTGGAATGACTCAGGAAACTCAGATACTTCAGAGTTTGCCAGAAACTTATATAAAGGTTGGATATTCTCTACTAAAATTCCTCCTGTGTTGCATCATATTGATATCTTTTTAAAAAGAAAAAATCAGTGTAAAGATTTTATTTGGAATGAAAAACATACCATTAGCTAAAGCATTTCGTCCCATCCATTCACTGTTGTCTCTTTGCCTGATCTGTACCCACCCAAGTGGCATTTACCCCCTAATATTTAAAAGGAAATACAAAGAGGCACAGAAATAAGCCAGGAAACTGGCTTAAAATTTAACAGGCTGGCTTCAAAATTGACAGGATTTAAAAGTATTTTTGATTTTTCTAGAAGGTTTCCCTCTCTCCAGCACTGGGAAAGAACTTGAAACATATCCCTTTAATTGCTT